TATGAGACTGAACATTTCTCCCCTTCACCTGCCTTCAGTAAGAGGCAGCTTCCCTTATCTCACAGAGACCTTACTGTCAGAGGCAGGCTAGTCATTGAGATGTAGATTCCAAGCTCTAGCAGGCTGGTCTCTGATATGCTATCCAAGTGCTTGCAGCTTGTGTAAGGTGAGGCCAAGATTACTGGCCTGCAGATGTACAGAAACAATGTATGTTCTGCCATCTCATTGTTCTTTCTGTAACTCCTTTCGATGACATCATTGTATTGTGCCCTTTAGAGGTACCATGATCTATATAAGGGAGATTTCAGGGCTCTCAGGGGAACACGTGCCTTAGAGAACCTGGGAACATGTGGCTGAGAGAACCAGAGAGCACGTGCTTGAGAGATCCTGGGGCCTCTATGACATACACTTCTTCCATGTAATAAACTGCTGCTAAGACCAACCAGCCTGGCTCTCATTTCCTTCCTTCACCTGACCATCACCATCGACCTCCCTGGAGTAGGGAAACGGCCTGAGACGACCGAACGCAGGCGGCGGGAGAGATAGGCCACTGCCATCCCCCCTGCCCGTCCTTTTGTGTGAGTTTACACAGCTGCTCAGTTATTTTTCCTGTCATTCTGTGAGGATGGGCAGAGAAGACAGAGCAATCTCTAGTTTAATGCCTCAGTATCTTCCAGGAGGGTAACTACAAAGACGCACCCCCAGCACAGCAAGAACACTTTCTATGATGTGAATAAAGATATTTCAAGTGGAAGCCCACCAAGCTCACTGATCAGAAACAATTATAACTGAAGACATAAACAATACCAGTAAATCCTCAGTGTCTTTAATGACATTGTGATCAGGATGTTCAACAAGTTCAAAGAAACCACAGCACAGGTAGTCAGCAAAGGACAAAAAGGTAACAAGAGTCGAAATGAAGAAAAGACGACAGTCAGAAATGAAGAACATGGCAGGCGATACAGAAGTCAACAGAAGCTCTGAGCAGCAAAATAACAGAAGCTGAACAAAAGATCAAGGAGCTCAATGATGAGAAGGAGGAAACTTCTGGTAAACAGAAGGTGGAAAATAGTCTAAAAATAAATGAACTGCATACTAGAGAACTATGGGGTGATTTCAAGAGTAATAGTTTAAGAATCACTGGAGCCCCTGGAGAATAGAAAAGCCAATTTTTCTATAATGAAGAAACAACAGTTAAGGGAATCATCAATAAGAACTTCCCAGAAATGCGGATTAAAAGCACTGACATCCAAGAGACCCAAAGGGTCCCAGTGAAAATGGACCCAATTAGGAAAACTCCAAAACATATTATACTCAAATTGACAAAATCCAAAGATAGAGACAAAGCAGTGAATACAAGATTAAAAAAGGAACTTATATACAAAGGAAAGCCCATAAATGTACGCCAGTTTGGCCATTTGTATTTCTTGCGGAAGTTTCTGTTCATTTCTTCCCATTTTTTGATGAGGCTGGATTTTTTTTCTTGTAAACTTTTACCAGTGCCTGATATATTTTGATATTAACCCCTTAACAAATGAGTATTGGGTAAATTTTCTCATTCCATGGGGAAGGGAGGCGGGTGTTGAAGAGAGACACTGGCAGTGAGAAATGTACACTGGTGAAGGGATGGGTGTTGGAACATCGTATGGCTGAAACGCAATCATGAACAACTCTCTAACTGTGTATGTCACGGTGAGTCGATAAATAAATGATTTTTTAAAAAGAAGTACATCAGATCTATTGAATGAGGTTCTATGGAGATGGAATATGGAAGGGCAGGACAAAATCTTGATGAAATGAACACTCACCAGGAATATTCTATTCAGCGAGATTATCACTCAGACTTGAAGGAACTATATAGAGCTTCCTGACAGGCAGCAGCTTAGGAAATGCACAGCCTTGATACCAGTTTTTTCAAAAAGCACTAAAAGAACTCTTTCAAAGGACAGGAAAAACTTCCACCATGTGGCGCAGAGCGTGGCACTCACTTCTGGTGCATGTGCCCGAATTCTACTGCATCAAGAAAGGTTAAAAACATACAGCCATCAATCATCACAAACTGACTCGTTCACTTTTCTGATAGTTCTATCTGCCATTCCTTTCGCGTTTTTTGGACCAAGTAATATGAAACAAACGCTACACGACTCCAAGGGAGCAGGCTGGTGGCGGGAGGGAACCTGGGATATTGGTGGAGGAAAGAGGACAATGGCGGGGCGACTGGTTAGGAATGTTGTATGCCTGAACGTACAACATCCCAACAGACGACGTTCCAGTTGTTACAAACAACTTTGAAAATCATGGTGTCTTGATAAACACTCCTGAAAAAATAATCGGACGATTATTACTTAGCACTATACTGCTGGTATTCATTTATCTGTGGAAAACCTGAAATAATCAATGGCTATTTAAAAAATGATGATTGAAATAAAAGCAACCATTGAACTTTGTGATTTCTAGTTGGAAGATTTATTTAGTATGTGGGTGTGAATAAAATAATTCACTAATTATTGCTGTGTCTATTCTTCAGCTATTTATGATTTTGTCTCTTTGTGATAGCACAAAAAGGAATCTGATCCAGGACCTCAGCCATAGTCTGCCACATTCCGACCCTGTCAATAACTTATAAATGGGATAATTAAAACATGCCTTGTAGAGTGTGGTAATATGTAAATCATGGAGAAATTCAATGCATATAGAAACACTCATTTTTATTGGAGGACATCAAGTTAGAGGGAGGACAAATACCGAATGATCTTTTTCATTTATGGTATGAAGAGGAACAAGATAAGCAATGGAAGGTATCAAATGATGACCAACAGCCCTTGGTTCTGGAATACAGTACTGAGAATGCCACGGAGGAGGAGAAGGCAGGAAAGGAGGCAGGAGGCGATGGATGAGATGCAAAGTGAGGATATGGGCCAAGGGGTTTTGGCACTTTGGTAAAGAAATGCAGTAACTATGTACATCAAAGCCATAAGTATCGACACTATTATATATTATATATATGTGAAGTCTATATTTTATCACAAAAGGTGTAGAATTATAAACATGTGACCCAAACCAAAATAATTTTTTAAAAATAATTGTTTTTAAGGGCTGGAGTGATAGCACAGCAGGTAGGGCATTTGCCTTGCACACGGCCAACCTGGGTTCGATTCCTCCACCCCTGTCGAAGAGCCTGGCAAGCTACAGAGTATCCCGCCCTCACAGCAGAGCCTGGCAAGCTCCCTGTGGCATATTCGATATGCCAAAAACAGTAACAAGTCTCACAATGGAGACGTTACTGGTGCCCGCTCGAGTAAATTGATGAACAACGGGAGGACAGTGCTACAGTGCTACAATTGCTGAGTTTGGGTTTAGAGAGAACAGAGGGCAGGGCACTTCCCTCGCATCTGGCAGACCTGTATGTAATCCGTGGCACCACATAAGATTCCCCAAACCCCTCCAGGAGTAATCCCTCAGTGCTGAGCCAGGAGTAAGCCCTGAGTTATCACCGGGTATGACACCTAAAACTAAAACCAAATCCAAACCAAAAAAGAGTTTGCTATGGGGGGAAGGGCCCTTGCAACATCAGGGGCCAACCAGACACTGGTTGTGGGTTTGAAGTTGGAACATTATATGCCTGATACTCTACAATAAACACTGTGGGTTGTAAAACTCACAGTGCCTAAAAAAATGGGGGGGAGGGGGTTGATTGGGGAGGGACACACACACACACACACACACACACACTCTCAGTTTCTTATAGCTACTAATAACTGACTGTCTAATGTCTACAATTATATCATGCCAGGGCATTGTCCTGTGCTTTCTATTCATTCTTTAACATCCACTCTAAGGAAGTATATTTCATTTGACAGACAACTTAGGACTGGAGACATTGTTCAATGGGCTGCACTGCACGTTACATGCAGAAGGCTGGTGTTTGATCTCAGACACCACATGGTCCCCCGAGCTGTCACAACTGTTCCCCAAGCACAACAGGTGCCCCCAAAAAACAACCACAAGGAAACTGCAACTTAAAGGAAAACGCTACTGGCTGCAAAGCCACATGGCTGGGATCCAAGCCACTGGCTGCCTGCAGAGCCAGAGCCCACGGTTCCAATCGTCCACCACGTGGGCTCACCAATCTTGTTCCTGTGGGGAGAAACAGTATTTTCAGCGTAGGGGCTAAGAGGTCTCCTGCAAAACAAAGCACTGGATGTTGTTTTCCCCTCAGTACCTTTGAGTCCCGTCCCCCCTGCCCACTCGGTGAAAGGTACACTCTGCTGAACAGCTGCTAGGAGCTCCTGGAGCACAGGCTGATTCTATTCCAGGCACAGCAGAGAAGCTCTGTCAGCACTCTGAGGGGAAAAGAGACAAACTGTTTCTTTAATAAGACAGAGCCACTTCCTGTTTGTGAAGTCTCTATTTTATCACAAAGTGTGGATGGGGGGGGGGGGAGAGCTTTTCTTTTCTTGGTCACATTGGGCAATGCTCAGGGGTTACCCCTGACTCCGCACTCAGGAATTCCTCCTGGCGGTGCCTGGGGGACCATATGGATATCGGGGATCAAACCAGGTTGACCTCATGCAAGGCAAATGCCCTCCAAACTACACCTTCCTACACATTTAGCGCCTCACCCTGCCACTGTTACCAGGACCCAAGGGTGCAAGGGTTGCGAAGACTATTTGTCTCACCTAGTTCTTTCTTTTCCCCCAGAGTACCCTTTCACAGGAATTGTGTGGCCTTTTACAAAGTGACCAGGAAACGGGGCTGGGGAAATAATGTGGAGAACAGCTGGCCTCCGACCCATCACTGGGTACTGGCCCGCAGGCCCACCAGCACCACCAGATGTGGCCTTGGCGGTCCCCAACACTATCATGCCCAAGAAGCACTGCATCCTCAGGTCTGAGCACTGAACCGGTAGCACGGTGGTCGAGTATCATGTGGAGGAGTATCACCGAGATGTCTCCCTGACCCCAAGAAAGTTACAAAGATAAACAAGATAAACAAACAACCCATGGAAATACATATTTATCTGTCAGTACAGACACCGGGGAAACAGACCAACACATGTAACTATGTACTTAAATGTCTGAGTACACATCAGCCCAAATCTTAGTCTGAAGACAGAAGACAAAAAGGAAAAATCACTGCCTGCCCAGGGGCCAGCAGTGACAGATGTCATCAGGCAATGATGCTGCATGGCAATACAGCTCTCCAACTTGCCGAGGCCCAGGACCTTCTCAGTCTTTGTCTTGCTTATTGGTCGATGAAGGATTTCTAGGAAGATTTAGCAGGGCTTCGATTTTCTCAGCATCTTCCTTGGATTTATCTTTCTGCAAGTTACTTTCAATTTCTCCAGGGAGGAGCTCTGTAAATTTTAATCTTGCTTTCCTGTAATCAAATGAGCAAAAGAATATATTGTGTACTAATCAAACGAGAAAAAGAATATACTGTGTACGACTCTTTTGCTTGACGTTTAAAGGAAATTTTTTAAAAAATGCATTATTTGTTCCATTCTTCCTGCTGATTTTCTTCTTCCTGTTTCTGAGCAACACCATCACTTGCACTTTACATGCAGGGATTTCTTCTCTCTCTGAACCTGCTTCCACTCACAAGTGAACTAGGATTCTAAATTACTGAAACGGATGCTGCTCTGGAGGCAGCTCCGATCCAGGAGACAGGTCAGAGTTTTTGCAGGGTGCCATGTAGAAGCAGAAGCCCTGCCCTCCTCTGTCCAGCTAAGGGCTGGACCTTACACCCCAGCGGCCTCCTGCCCTCAGGGTTAGGGGAGGTGACCCCTTGTAGAAATCTTTGTTGCTCGACCTTAAGGAATTGGACAAAGGCTGAACAATAATACTCTAAGTATGGAAAAATCAAGATACAGCACTACTTATGAATATTTATGAAGAGTCAAAATCAATTTCCAGGGGCTGGAGCTATAGCACAGCGGGTAGGGCATTTGCCTTGCATGCAGCCAACATAGCTGACCCGGGTCTGATTCCCAGCATCCCCGATGGTCCCCCGAGCACCGCCAAGAGTAACCCCTGAGCATCGCTGGGTGTGACCCAAAAAAGCAAAAAAAATAAATAAAATGAAATAAAATAAATTTCCAAACACAGGTCAACTCTTTTTTTATAAGTTCTATTATATCCCTTTAACTAGATTATAAAGGTCATTGTGGGGCTTGAGCAATAGCACAGCAGGTAAGGCGTTTGCCTTGCAAGTGGCCGAGCCGGGTTCGATTCCCAGCATCTCGAATGGTCCCCTGAGCACCACCAGGAGTGATTCCTGAGTGCAGAACCAGGAGTAATCCCTGTGTATCGCCAGGTGTGACCCAAAAAGTTAAAAAAAAAAACCGGCAAGCTACCGAGAGTATTCGAAATGCCAGACACAGTAACAACAAAGTCTCCAATGGAGACGTTACTGGGCCCGCTCGAGCAAACATATATATATATATATATATATGAAGGTCATTGTGACTTTCCAGTGTCAGATTTTTCCGTATCTTCATCTAAATCTCTAAAACTCATCTTCAAGATTTTTTGCGTATATAATTTTCAGATTCTCCCTTTGTCTGATATTCTAAAGTCCTTTTCAAGCAAAGAAGTAGAATATAGGATTTCTTAACTATTTATTAAATTCCCACTTAGAAATATCACATATATGGAGCATCTAAATTGTGTATATAAACAAAAAAACCTACACATCTTGAAACTACTTCCTCTGTCAAAGTATTCTTTCATACTGTAACTCAGGTTAACTGACCAATTCTTGAGATTTTCCATTCTTGAAGCGTTCTATCTTTAAATAAATAACTGACTGACTTCACTTTTTTCTCTCATTTTCTTTTTATCTCCCCAACTTTCATTTTGTTCTTTAATTTTTTCAAAATTGAGATACAATTGCTCTTTGTTCATATTTTTCTAAATGTTTTTTCTTCCATAACTTCCTGTATCAGATTCAAATTATTCATACTTTCCATACCATCCTAACGTCTTTCTTAACAATTCTTTTTTAAAAAAATGTCTCTTATGATGTATAAAAGAGCAGAAATAAGGTAATGTTTTCATACCATTAATTTCTCATAGTATCAAATTTTATGCTGGTATTCCAAATTTTAAACGCCCCATTAGAGGACTCAGATAACTGTATATCCTACTGCAGAGGAAGGAATGAAACAAATAGATACTGAGCACTGTGGTATGGTTCTTCCCTAAGGACAGCTGAGAACACTGAGACATGAAGTTAAGAACAACATCTGGGGCTAGAGCGACAGCATAGCAGGTAGGGCGTTGGCCTTGTGTCCCGCTGACCAGAGTTCAATTCCCAGCATCCCACATGGTCCCCTGAGCACCGCCAGGAGTAATTCCTGAGTGAATGAACCAGGAGTAACCCCTGTGCATTGCTGGGTGTGACCCAAAAAGCAAAATAAATAAATAAATAAATAAAATTAAATAAAATATAAATAAATTGTAGTAAATCTCACTTGGTTGCATATATATTTTTTGACTGCATGTATTCTAAAGAAAATAGCCCTATCATAGCTCCAAACCCTTGATTTACTACAATTTAACTTTGAAAAAAATTCCAAAGGGAAGAGTCTCAGCTGATCACACTGAAAATCAAATTGGTGTCCTTTCTTTTCCTGCAGACCTTAATTTAAAGGTCGGTACATGGTACAAGTTGAAGGACTCAGTAAGGAAGTCAACCCTTCCTCAAGTCTGACACCCTGACCATGGCCGACACCCTACTCACCACTCCTGCAGCTTCAGCTCATGCAGCGCTCTCTGATCCTTCTGCTTCCTCTCCTGAGTGGTCTCACCATAGTACTTCTGAAGGGCCATCAGGAGGCCTCCAACAGGAGTGCTGGGGGAGAGCAGAGGGAACGTCAGGTCACTGAGAGTCCTCGGACCAGCAACACTCCATGCTTCGGCTAAGGACTGGGCAATGCCAACTAAGCACCTTATTTACCAACAACGAGAGGAGCTTGTGTGACGACCACAGGAGCCTTGCTGAACAAAGAGAACTATGGTGGGCTGAGGAGAGAGCCCAACAGGCTGAGCGTACGCTCTGCATGCAAGAGGTCTAGGTCTTCTCCCTGGTACCACACGGTCCCGAGCACAGAGGTGGGAGCAGCCGCTGAGCACTGCTAAGTGTGGCCCCAAAAACCAAAAAAGAAGAAGAAACATATTAAGACGATATCTTTCCTGGTCTGAAAAATTTAGAAAAATGATTAGTGCAACTTCATAAAAATTAGCTGGTTGTAAAAACAGCAAATATAATAATTGGCTTTTCAAAAAAAGTATTATGAGTGAGAAATAAACTATGAAAAACTGTATTAAGGACAAGTTCTGGTAGCTTTATACAGAAGATTTCTGAGAAATTCAATGAATACTAATGTGGCGAGCCATAAAAGTTTTGTTTAGGCTGCAAAGGTTCCCAGACTTATTGTCACACCCTTTACAGGAAAAAAATTAAAAATCCTGCCGCTCTCTTTTGGAACTCTGCCTTCTTTAAATGTAAAGGTAAAGGTAAAGGCCCTCCCGTTGATCGTCGATTTGCTCGAGCGGGCCCAGTAACGTCTCCATTGGAGACTTTGTTGTTACGTGTCTGGCATATCGAATACTCTCGGTAGCTTGCCGGGCTCTCCGAGAGGGGTGGAGGAATCGAACTCAGGTCGGCCATGTTGGCCGCGTGCAAGGCAAACGCCCTACCCGCTGAGAAAACACATCCCTCCCCCCAGGGCACCTCGCTGTGGTCCCCACCAGGGGGTACCATTGCCCACTCTGAGAATCCCTCCTTAGAGGTTGGACACTATTGGCTCTGGAGTGAGGGTGTGGGACAGTTACCCAATAACCTGAAACTTAAAAGAGTCCAGAGCAATCACCCCATTCACAGTGTCAATAGTTACCCATTGAGAAACTGATGCAGATAACAATCCTAAAAGTTAATGAATAGGATTTGGTTCTCAGAGAGAATGATTTTTTTTTACTTTCATAAAACTTAAACCATCTCTGCCTACAATTTAAATAATCTCACCTGAAAAATTACTTTGTTAAGTACGAATTTCCATCATGTACACAGACAACAATGAGGCAGATATGGTGAACACGGTGCACTGCACTGCACTGTCCTCCCGCTGTTCATCGATTCGCTGGAGCGGGCACCAGTAATGTCTCCATCGCGAGATCTGTTGTTACTGTTTTTGGCATATTGAATATGTCACAGGTAGCTTTCCAGGCTATACCGTGCAGGCAAAATACTCTCAGTAGCTTGCTGGCTCTTTTGAGACGGGCGGAAGAATCGAACCCAGGCGGGCTGTGTCCAAGGCAAACGCCCTACCCCCTATGCTATCGTTCCAGCCTGAACACAGTGTAGCCCTGACAAAAAGAGTCTATCATAAGCAGAAAGCACACGGCCTTTAACTTAAAGCACACAGGGCTAAGCAGAGCCAGCTACAAAGTGAGAAGTGAGCCCCTTTAGGCAAATACACTGAACACTACTGCTGGACACTTGAAAATGCTTAAGACGGTCAATTTTATGCTGTGCTCTGTCACCACAGTGACAAAAATAAATCTGCTCATTTCAACAATTTCTTCCCGAAAACTAGGTAGGAATATCCTCAAAATGTCTGCAACGAATTACGGCAAAGTTTGTATTTTAATTTTTTTTTTAAAGATATCCAATAACACACCTCCCTAAAAAGGAGGTAGGAAAGTGCAGGGAAAGGAAACGGGCACTTCACACCAAATGTCACAGGACTTCGTCAACACCCTGGATGGTTTGGAAGCAGATTCTTTCCCAGGACCTCGAGCTAAAAATCAGCCCAGCTGTGATTTTGGCTCTGTGATACCCTGACAGCAAATCCGGCCTAGCCTCGCTGGACTCTGGTGATATCATGAACGGGCAGTATTTGTAATAATTTGCTACACAGAGATAAAGAAATAAAAACACCACATATTTTAAGGTTAACATGACTTATAATAGGTGGCATGACATGTCTCTTGATGTGAGACACAGAAGCACACAACTTCATCTGCATTGAATTACTGACGAACATTTAATTTCAGTCCCGTGAAAAGCACTGAAGTCTGGGGCCAGAGAGACAGAACAGTGGGTAGGGCGCTTGCCTTGCATATGGCCGACCCAGGTAGGATCCCTGGCACCCCATATGGTTCCCCGAGCCCCACCAGGAGTAATTCCTGAGTGCAGAGCCCGGAGTAACCACTGAGAATTACCAGATGTGGCCAAAAACCCAAAACCAAACCAAAACAAAACAAAACAAAACCCATTTAAATCTAATTATGAAAGAATACTCAAAACAAGGGCTGGAGCAATAACAGCCCTGCAGGTAGGACTTGGCCAACACAGGTTGATTCCTCCACCCTTCTCGGAGAGCTGGCAAGCTACCGAGAGTATCCCGCCTGCACGGCAGAGCCTGGCAAGCTCCCTGTGACGTATTCGATATGCCAAACACAGTCACAAGTCTCACAATGGAGACGTTACTGGGCCTGCTCGAGGAAATCGGTGAACAACGTGAAGGCAGTGCTACAGTGCCACTCAAAACAAAATTGAGAAATATTCAAACACGCACAGTGGCTTTCCAAGTCACCATATGAAATCAAAACGAAGAGACATAATCAAATGCAACATAAAGCTGGATCCCACATTTTAAAAAACTATAGGGGAGAGGGGTGTCCCACACCCAGTGGTGCTCGGGGCTCGCTCTTGGGATACACAGGGATCATTCCTGACATACCCAGAGATCATATGTGCTACCGGGGATCATGCAAGGAAAGGGCTTTAACCCCTGTAGTATCTCCTTAGCCTCATATACATATATGTATGTGGCACTATTTTAATAACCAAAAACTTTTAAATATGCACCTTATCTTAGAAAGTTATAATGAACCAACACTACTAAATTATCATTAGAGTATTTCTCATTCTAGGAAAAGACATGCCTTGTACTAAAGAGTAACATACTATAAGGTCTCAAATAACTTAATCAAAACAGAGAAAGAAATATAGACACATTCTACACATATAACGTGAGCAAGTGAATAACAGCAAATGAATATGATGGTGATGGACCCTCAATACACTGATTCATTCAACTTTTCTGTCAGTTGCTTTTCAAAGTAAGAAAATTTCATTAACTTGTTAAGTTAAACAAGACCCATTCAATGTGTGAAAACAAAGTATTTAAGGGAAGTAAAATGGGCTCCTTGGGGGGAGGAGGTGGGAACACTGGTGATGGGTGTGCTTTTGGAATTCTGTGCAGGAGAAAAGAAATCACACTGACAGTGTTGTAAGTCACAGAACTTCAATCAATAATAATTAAAAAATACAATGTGTTTGTTTCTTATCCCCCTTTTCCTGCTCTTCATAAGTCCCTTTATTCAAATTACAAATATTTTTAGGTGCTAGTGATACTTATACTGTTTTTAGCTAGTTAAAATAAAGAAAAATCAACAACAGGGTCAGAATTCAAAAAGGACAGTTTAAGCCACTGCCAGGACAGACTAGAGACATTTATTTGGGCTAAAAGTTAAATTTTCCCCTTAGAGAGAAATTAGATTTTTTTTCTAAAGCAGGCACAACCTTAATGAATGTGTTAATTTAGAACCAAGCACCATTATCACTTACCCTAGCAAGCCTCCAATTATGCCGCCAGCAACCAGGCCTCGCAGGCCTAGGTTTATTCTAAAAACGCTTCCTGTGACGGCTATTATAAACAAAGACACAAAACCAGGAATATTAAATTCTTTAAAGAAACACTAGAATTCCATTAAAAAAATTCCTTCCATTGAAAGAACATTCATAAGATAAGTAACCTTCCTCTTTTAGGGGGTGTGGGGAAGTGGTTCTGGGTGGTTGTTGAGGATCAAATTCAGGGCTTCAAGACAAGGCAAGTTCTCTATCACTGAGCTACACCACTGAGCTGCAGCGCTCTAAATAGGCCTTTGTGATCCTAACACTATGCCACAGGGACAGAGTTTAGGCATTAGACTTGCACACAGCCAATCCAGGTTCAATCCCTGCCACTACCAAGAGTGATTCCTGAGCCAGAAATAAGACCCCGGCACCACCAGACGCGGCTCATAAAAACCAAACAATACACACACACTATACACAGATACACACGTGTGTGTGTGTGTGTGTGTGTGTGTGTGTGTGTGTATATCTCACAACCTGGCTGTTCTGAATCTAGAAGTTAAGGAAAGTCAGTGCCCATCAAGCATGCTACAGTCTGAAAAGAAGATGTATTCCCTGACAAACCAGTGCTTCAGCGTTTACTGTGAAGGGAAATTTTCTTATTCTGTTCCATTTCGCCCCTATTAAAAGTTTCCACAATTTCTTAAGTTCACCTTCTTAAATGTTTCCTTTCTCTAGCATCCCTCTCCCCTCCTTCCTTCCTGTCAGTTCTGCCTGTTGTCAACTGGGGGCTCGCAGCCTTCGATGTCATCTGGCACGCTGTGCTCGTGGGTGTCCCTGGGAGGGAGCCGGCACCCACGCACGCTATCAACTGTGCTGCCAGGCCCGCCTGGCCTGTCCGGGAGGAAGATGCAGCCAGCAGCCCTTGCAATCTCCCTGCTGGGCCGGCTCCGTTCCACGCAGGCACACAGGCATGAAAGCCTGCAGCCCTGCAGCGGGCACTCGCCTACAGCGGCCCCTGCTGGCCAGAGGCTGGCCCCTCATTTCTTCCCACCAGCAAAGTACATCCAGGGTGTCCTTTTTTTAAAGTTGCTGCGTTTCTTTCTGAATCACCATGAATTATGAAATTACTTATGACTGAGTTTAAGGCATACCCATCACTTCAGCCGTGCCCACTCCCCTCAATCAAGAGCCCCGGCTTCCCTCCCACCTGGGGGGCCTCTACGGCAGGCACTGCGGTTCTGATAGGGTGACTGAAAGCAGGCCACGAGTACCACCTTACCGCCTTTCAGCCTCCGGCTCTCACCCGGAGGGGCCACTTCCCCCTGTCCTTGTTGTAGGGGTCTCTTTCCTGTCCTAGCCCCCCACTCCCCCTGTGGCACGCTTCCTACAAAGGACCATTCCCCTGCCCTTCACATTTCTATGGTCTTTGGGCATAATTATCCTGTTGTGTTCCATTACACCCCGCAAACGAGTGCCATCACTCTGTGTCTGTCCTCTCCCTCTAACTTATTTCATTCAGCATAATGTTTTCCAGGTCAAGCCATGTACCAGTAAATTTCATGTCTTCATCTTTTCTCATTTTTTTCTCACTATGTACAATACAAATAATGGCGATTCCTGTGGGGTAATATTTTTAAGAATCCAATATTTGTGGTTCAGTTAATACTTAAGTATTACATACTCATATTTTTAATTTCCTAAATTAACAAGAACCAAAAAAGGAAAATCATCTTTAAATCTATTACCTAGAATAATAATAGATTTGGTATTACATTTCTAGTCTGCTTCCCCAAACAATCGGTTTGAGGCTCTTCGTGTTCCTAGAGCGAACAGACGCCATTGGGCTACACTAGCACGCGACAGAGGCAAATGGAGATGTCACCGGCGCCCGCTCGAGCAAATCGACGATTAACGGGAAGTCAAGTGATCAAGTGATCCCCAAACAAAATGTTTTCAAAAAGCCTGTTAGGACAGGGAGTGGAGATGTTTCCTGGCTGCGGAGTGCATGCATGAGAGTTTGAGTCTGACCACTGGAATCACAAAAACAAAAGCAAAACTATGAGAATAGCTTAAATCAGGGTCTCTAGATAATACCGTGTGCTTATACAGCTTGCCACCATTACTGTCTGTAGGATAACATTGGTCTGTCCTTTCCACTTTGCCACAGGGGACTTAGATTTATTGGGTTAATCTCATCACAGTGCCACCATTCCTCTGTGTTTCGTTGTAACTTCTTTCTTTGTGCTCTGTTAACTTGCAAACATTGCTTTTCTCTTCTCCTTAAGTCCTTTGCATAGGTAAGTCAGAGCAATGTCCTTTTTGTATGGACACAAGAGGACAGTTAATGCTATGCTTCTGTACCGTGGGAGTTAAATGAATCTGAATGATATTTACCTCCTGGACATCTGTTCTCTGGACTTAAGCCTCAGCTGCCTTTACTTCCTAGCACCTCAAAAGTACGGTTCTGCGGAGGGACTGCATGGACCCAGGGCAAGTGGTGAGCTATGTGCTACCCTGGCATTAAAATGAGCCTTGCCAAAGTGCCATAATGCTTAACTATAAGTTAAGAACATGGTCATGGACAAATGCTGTCATGATCCAAAAAGTAATAACTAGATTTGGACTCTGCTAGGGTTAGGAATGATTAATCTGGCCTGAACACTGTAGTCTGAGTCTGTGGCGAGATGTTCCTGGGAGAGCCAACCTACAAGCTCACTGTATCTCTTACTGTGTTCATACAAAAATAACTAATATTAAGAAGTAGAATGAAGATGCTAATTAAGATGTTAATTAAGTTATTGGACTAAGGAGTAGAGGAACACCCCTAGGTGGTATTTTCACCCTTGAGCCTAAGGGGCAGTCAGGAAGGGCTTTCTTATGTTGATTTTGCCATCTGACTGGGTGTATCATCAGCCTCCAGTGAGAGAGTTGGGGAGAGAGGATGGGAGAGACAGCAGGTCAGCAAGATGGAGCATGGATGGAGGGTCACATATTGATTCGGCTGTTCCCATCCCGGTGCTTTTTCCTCTGTGCTTATTTGTAAGTTCTTTCTTTGTGCTCTGTTGACTTGTAAATATTGTTTTTCTCTTTTCCTTAAATCCTTTGTAAGGAATATTCAGAGCAATGTCCTTTTTGTATGGGCACAGGAAGACAGTAGTAAATGCTATGCTTTTGTTACGTGGGAGTCATTTGACTCTAAATGATATTTTCCTCCTGGGCATTTGTTCTCTCGACCTAAGCCTCAACTGCCCTGACTTCCTAGCACCCCCAAAAGCAGGGTCCCAAAGAGGGACTGGATGGACCCAGGGCAAGCGGTGAGCTACGTGCTACCATGGCATCAGGATGGGCCTGGCCAAAGTGCCTAATGCTTAACTATACGTTAAGAGTTTGATCATGAACAGATGTTGTCATGATCCAAAAAGCAGTAACTATATTTGGACCCTGCTAGGATTAGGAATGATTAAAATCTGGCCTAAGCGCTGTCGTCTGAGTCTGTGGCAAGACGTTCCCAGGAGAGCTGCCCTACAAACTTCAATGTATCTCTTCTTGTGTCCATATAAAAATAACCCAGGGAGAAAGACACCTTAAGAGCTAGTTTGCCTGAGGCCATCAGGAAGGGCTTCCTTAGGCTGTTTATGCTTCCAGACTAGGTGGGGCATGGGTGGAGGGTAAGGTGGAGAGATAGAAGTAGGGGTAGAGAGAGAAGCAGAGAATTGAGAGAGGAGAGGGAGAGCCCAGGCTGCCAGACACAGTGCAGGGAGATCAGCAAGGACAGAGGAATGAGGGGCAAGGAAGGGAGAATGCGTGAGATGAGAGAATGAATGAACCGTGAGTAATCAGCAACCAGCCCGGTCCTTGTTCTTCCTTTGCCTGCCCATTGCCTACAGCCGTCCCGATCCTGTCCATACACAGTGGCTCCAGAGCACCGAATGCAGGCGGTTGGGAGAGAACTGCCCGGAGAGCCCACGAACACACAGGCTTCTGTGGGCATGTTCTTTACACGTGGAGAGACTAGCATGGGGGATGGAGGGAGAAGGACGCAGGAGCAGGCATGTGGAGAGAGAGCCCAGGCTGTGAGATGGAGCACAGAGAAATGAGCAGGAGAGACAGGAGGAGATGGCAATGAGGGGCAGAGACTGGAATGGGGGCTTAGTGAGACCAGAACAGGCTCGTGGGGAGAAAGGAAAAAATGGCAACTGATCAGTCAACCGGCTCGTGTCTTCCTCTTCTGTCTGCCCCACGGCACAGGCCATCCCAGCTGGGCGAGCAGCAGGAGATCACAGAAACCGAGCCGGGGACCCTCCCTAGCCACCCAGAGATTATACAACGGTTGACTGCCCGGACCCTGCAGGGCAAGGAAAGGAATATTCTGTAGGATCAGCGAGCATCCTGCTGGGTGGGGAAACCAGTGCTGACAGCAGAAACTGAGCTCGTCGGCATGGAATTCTCCACGCTCTGCTCAAAAAGAGTCAGCCGCCCGAAGCAGCAGAACTGCTGGCGATACCAGGCTGTGCTGCCCAGGTGAAACTTCGCCTCACGTTGCTGAGGTGCGAGTGACCAGGCTGAAATGCAGCAGGCTCCAACTGTTCTTGCCAGGATTCAACAGCGACTCTTTAATGCCCGCTTCCGATTGTGCTGAGAGCCCTCGGCCAATTTTCAGCACCTTCAAATGGTTGTTGTAGATAATTCTGCTGTTTCGTTGTTGGGTTTTGTTTGTAGGATTTTTTTTTTTTTTAGTGTTGTTTGGGGGCCATCCCTGAATGTGCTCAGGGCTTAGGCCTGGGTTCTGTGCTCAGAGGTCACCCTTGGCAGTGCTGAGGGACCATATATGGTGCCAGGGATCTAGGTAAGTCACGTGCAATAGAAGTGTCTTAGTTGCTAAACCACTGCTCCAGCCCAGGGAAAATTACTTGAATGTTCTTCTTTTTTTTTTTAAGTACCGATCTAATCACTTAAGTTCTGGGCCCCTACCTTAGTGTTCTAACATTATGTTTAATGTTAATCATTGGTACACGAGACAAAAATTTGTACTGCAGAGCCAGAGAGATAAGTCTATGACTTTAAGTGCTTTGCTTGCACAAAACTGACTCTGGTTCAATCCCGGCACCACTCATGCTGCCCTAGGAGTGGACCCTGAGAACCACTGGGTATGACTCAAAAACCAACAAAAAAGAGAGGCCAGTAAGTGTAAAGAAGGAATATCCAAGCAGATGCATAATGCTGGAACAAGCAGCACATGAGCGACATCAGCTACATGCAAGGCAAGCATATTAGCACCTGCACTCTCTCCAGCTCTATTTGGTTTTTTTTAATGGAATAAATGATAGGAAACACAAAAGCAGGACCAAGTAAGGGAGTAGAGAAGAGAAGAGTTTAGTCTGGGTATCAACCTTTGAGAATATGGAATACCATGTAAAAACGTTTATGAATTAAAACGGGCAAGTTCTAGCTGCTGTAGTGCTATTAATGTTTATTTCTAGTTTTATGACTTTTAGTGTTTCAGTGAAACGTAAATTCACAGTATGCACACTTGTTTGTACCTGAATGTGTATAACAGAGAGTACATTCACAAAGCACAAATGACGAGGGAGCTGTGCTATGAGCAACGGCTGCATTTCTGTATGTGAAAGAAATATGGCGCCCCTCGTACGACTTATTTTTCCAACTGCCAGCTTTAAATTATCTCCAAATTTGTTTTCGTTTTGTATTGGGGCCACACCCAGCAGTGTTCAGAAGTTACTCCTGGCTCTACACTTAGGAACCACTCCTGGTGGTGCCTGGGGGACCATGTGGGAGGCCAGGGATCAAACCCAAGTTGGCTACATGCGAGGCAAGTATCCATTGGACTGTCTCTTCGAACCTCTATTTCCAATTTCATTCCGTGAAATCTATCTTGCATGTATCTCACTGCGATTCAATTAAAAAAAAAGACTATCTTGCTCAATGAAAAAAGTTGTAAGCAGTACATGTGCATGTTTGCATGCAAGAGAATGCACAAGAGTTAATACAGGTATGTGTGCATTAAATATCATTTACACTTAGAAATAACACTTTTGATACTTTAATGGTTAATTTCATTTATAGTCAAGAGTTAACATCATTTACATTTCTGGAAACAACACTTTTTGATACTCCTTTTGAAGCTACTTTTTGTTTTGTATTGTTTTGGTTTGGGGTCACACCAGGCAATGCTCAGGGGTTACTCCTAGATCTGCACTCAGGAATTACCCCTGGTGGTGCTTGGGGGAACAATATGAGATGCCAGGGAACAAACCCAGGTTGGCAATGCAAGGCAAACACCCTCCCCCCCCCCCCCCACAAACTATCTCTCCTGCTGCCTTTTAAGAAAGGGAATATCTACCAGAGTCAGCTCTTTACAGCAAACCTCAGACTCCTGCTCTGAAAGCACCGCCCTTTCCGATTTTACCTGCCCAGCCCTGTCCCACACCACTCTTCCTCACTAAGTTCAAGCCCTACGTCTGCTTTTGAAGAGCTTTCTGGACTAAACCCTTCCCTACATCCGCTGCCTACACTACTTTTCCTCGCAGGTTTGCTGCTTCCCGTCCTTCAGCTATCAGCACGAACATCCCTGCCTCCAAAAGGCCTTCTCTGCACACCTCTGATCATCACCAACCCACGAGGCCCCTTGCTCCACTGCTCTGTTACTGAAAGAAACCAAGAGAAATAACTTAGACACTTCTCCAAGGAAGATCTAAAATGGAACAGAAAGCAGAGAAGATACTCAACATCACTATTAGAGAAAAATCAAATTCACAATGAGATGCCAATAAAAATACCAATAAAAACTGACCTAACAACCTATTTTCCCCCCATCCATATTCAACTAAAAATATTCCCAAGAAATCAAGGTTAAGTGGTTGGGGTGCTTGCCTGGCTCATGGCTAACCTGGGTTTGACCCCAGGCACCTCGTTTAGTCCCCAGAGTACCAGCAGGAGAGATCCCTGAGCACAGAGTCAGGAGCGAGCCCTGAGCACCACCAGGCCTGGCACAAATAAAAATTTCAGGAAATCAGTTACCTCTTCTGCGTGTTTACCAAACACAGCAAGAACCATACAACTTGCATGAATGCTGAGAAACCATCCAAAGGATTCTGTAGATCTTATATGTTGAAAAGATTGAAAATATAAACAAGAATAAAAATAAATTACCTCCTGCAATGACAAAGTGGCTGAGGGCATTCTTATTTCTGTATACGGTTAGGCCAGTGTTCACTGTGCTGTGAAGAGAGAAAACCACACGTTAAAGAAATCCTATTTGTCCTCCTGAATGTAAATTCAAATCAAGCACCAGACAGGAGGGTCGAGGAGCCCACAAAGGCAGTCCCTAGTCCTAATTGTAATCTAGAGACTTCCAGTGGTGCTCAGGGTCACTCCCAGTGGGCTAAGGAGGTCCAACGGGTGCTGGGGATGAAACCAGGGTTGGTGCGTGTAGGGCGCGCAGCTCCCGGCTGCAGCCCCATTCCAGCCCCTCAACCCAGGGACATTCAACGCGGTCCAGACAGCTAACATGCCTGTCCGTTTTCTATACAGCTCATTCTGATAAACCAGAGGAGAGAGAAAAATCACATTTTTAAAATATTCACTTCTGTACAGAAGAAACATAGAGGGGTTTTCCAGAATTTCTCTTAAAATTGTTTCTTAGCTGGGGGCCAGAGTGGTAATACAGTAGCTAGGGTGCCTGCCCTGCATAGAGCCAATCCAGGTTTGATCCCTGACACGAGCCAGGAATAAGTCCTGAGCACAGCTGGATGTGGCCCCAAAATAAATCCCCCCCCAAATTTTTTTAATTGAGGTACTGATTTGCTGTTGTTGTTTGGGCGCCACACCTGGCAATGCTCCGGAGTTACTCCTGGCTCAGCACTCAGGAATCACCCTGGGTGGGCTTGGGGGACCACAGGGATGCTAGGATCCAATCCAGCCTGGCCGCGTGCAAAGCAAGTGCCCTACCTGCTGTACTACGTCTCTCCAAGTCCTAAAGTACTTGTAAGATTCCGCATTTTAGGGAAGCAATTTCACATCTTTTGAAAATATGTTACTGGGACCGGAGCAATAATATGGGGGGGGGGGGGGCGGCAGAGCATTTGCCTTGCATGCAGCCGACCCAGGTTCAATCCCAAGTATCACATATGGTCCCCCAAGCACCACCAGGAGCAATTCCTGAGTGCAGAGCCAGAAGTCACCTCTGAGCATGGCTGGATGTGACCCCAAAACAAAACAAAAATTCAAAAAATGTTCCCCTACCATGCCCATCATCACTCAAGTACCAATATCCCTTATTACGTGCCTCCCCACGGCTGAGGCTCCCCACTCCTCCCTGGTAACCCCAGTTCTCGGGGCTGAGTCCCAGGGTTTGTCTTTACCTTTGTCTGTTTCCTTGTCTTGGTCCTCTAAATCCTACATATGATTGAGGTCATCAGACTCTGCCTTTTACTTTCTGACTCATTTAGCTTAGCAAGATCCCCTCCAAGCCCCAGCCAAGTTATCAGAAAATGAAAAACAATCTTTTCTTACAGCTTAGTGCTTCACTGCATATATACACATATATACATATACACACTACATTTTTATCCATTCATTTACTTAGGAGTCTGTTTATCCTGATATTAGCTGATAGGACACCTCTACAAACGCAGAAGTACAACTGGATCAGCTTTTTACAAAGCCGGCTAGAAGCTCCTGTGGAAAGGGTGCAATAAATCTCTTTCAGACGGGTGCTTAGTTCTTATCATCCTTCTTGTTTGAAACGTGTTGCCTTAAAAGGATACCAAAGTGTGTGTGGCAATTTAGAGAGAACTTACTTGAATATGGTCACGAACACCGTGGTTCTCCACCCCCAGCGCCAGCCATAGCGAATGAAGCCGCGCGTGGCAGCGCGGTGTGCAGATTGCTAGGGATGAGAAGGAGGCGGTGAGGCTCCAAGGCACCTTGACACTCTTTTTTAAAATCTTATTTTTCAACTTGTCTGTTGAGACTTTTACAAACACTATATTTTATTTTAGGCACTGTGATTTACAATACTGCCAATGGCAGGGTTTCACACAGAGAACATTCCAGCACCACACCTCCCAGCATGCTCCCCTTCCCCCCGCCACGGTCCCACGTCCCTCCATGCTATACCACACAGCCCCCGACTGTGGCAAGCTTTCTACCGAAAACCAGTGCTTGACACTTTCTTGATTATGAGACTCTGCTGGAAGGATGGCAGTTCTGGGTGAGGCAGGAACAATGAAACAGAAAATCTCTAGAAACAACGCTGATTCTATACTGAAGCTTAAGTAAAAGTGACGTCACCTGTTCTACTGGGCGATGAAAAAGAAATCTAAGACGTCAATGTCACCCAAGTAACCATCAATTAAACACCGAAAACCCACGTCATGGAGAAACATCCCGGCAAGTATAAAATCTGTATCAGACAGGTCTTTATATTCAGTTTTGGGGGGAAATAAAAAAATGCTAAGAACTAAGTAGATGGTAAATTAAAGGGTAGAGTAAGAGTTCTACATATGTTCAAGAAAAGAGCAGATGAGGAACATTCTACCTGAAAGCTATACTAACAAATTATCTCATTTTAATCTCTACAACTTTTTCTCTTGGCAGATGTTTTGAAATTTAGATGACATCATCGTTTCTAACCATGGCAACCCCGCCAATAAGGTATACATACAATTGGAATATGTAGCTAATTTTATCCCTTTTCTCCATTTTCGTTACACCATTGTGAAACAATGTGTGATACTGTGAAGATAAAGTCTGGATTTTTAATAATTCAAGAAAAACCCTAAGTTAATTCTTAACTACTGTCTAGTACTGAGCAAATCAAAAGTGAAAGGTATCTCTGTAAGGTATCCTTATACGGGCAAAAATGAATGCAATGTATCTAGGAACATGTACGTTCCCCAGGTCTGCCTTCCTAGGTGAAAACAGAAGCTTCATACCAGATCTTTTAAATACCAGGGCTTTAAAATATAATTTTCCTTTGAAAGAAATTAGAACTCACTGATGAAATGGCTAATTCCAGGACCGGTGCTGAAAACTAAAAGACAAGCGAGGGTATTTTGGTGTGCCAAAAAGTAACACAGTGTAACGTACTTTGACATTCTCAAAGAATATTGGAAGGCATATCAAAATGACAGAGGGCTGGCCCGAGGGTGCTCCAATGGTCCAAAGACAGAAAAATCTGTACATTAAAATAATGGATTATAAACGAAAAGAATGAGGTAAGAATCCACAAATTCACACTGCCATAAATGATTCATATATAGATGAAAAAGGAGAGCTGTTTCTCATTGGATACTAACCAATGAACACGGAATGACGGAACTAGAAAAAGGCTATGTGATAACCACAATAACTCAAAAATCATCAACGAGATGCTGGTGAGATAGTACAGGGGGTATTAAGGCTCACCTCGCATGCAGCCAACCCCAACTGGGTCCCTAGCACCATCTGGTCCCTGTGCACTGATAGGAACAATCTCCAAGCACAGAGCTGGGAGCTGATCCGAAGCACGAGGGTGTGGCCTAAACACCGTACCCCCAGGCCCACAAAAAAGAATCATCGATGAGTGCTAAAACTAAGACAAAGATTTGATGGGAATATGGTATTTACATAGTCTTCAAGTACTTAAGAAGTACCTCTGAAATGCTTATTAATTAAAAGGGAAACTGATTTTACAATGGATAGTCATAGCAGAGACCATCTTCATCCAGGGGCTAACATAAACATCAGGAGTGCAGGGTCAACAGAGTATGTACTCCTGTGAGAGTTTAAGGGAACTTCCCTGGAACTGAAGCACTGAAAATGTCAAACGAATCTACGTGAGCAACATTTTCTACAGCAAACAGAACAAAGTCATAAAAAAACTCAATGGATGTCTAAAAAGATAGAAAAACTGTTCCAGATTAAAGACGACTGCGCTTCAATAAGCAAAATTGAGTATCTGATGTAGTATTCGGCCTTGGACCAAGACAAAGGAAAAAAAAAAAAGCTAGGGGCTAGAGCAATTGCACAGCGGTTAGGGCGTTTGCCTTGCATGCGGCCAACACGGGTTCGATTCCCAGCATCCCATATGGTTCCCTGAGCACCGCCAGGAGTCAATCCTGAGTGCAGAGCCAGGAGTAACCCCTGTGCATCGCCAGGTGTGACCCAAAAAAGAAAAAAGAAAAGAAAAGAAAAAAGCTACTGCTTATATACTTTAGAAATAAAATAGTGGGATAGCTAGAAAATTTACATAAAGTATGTCATTGTTCTATGTTAGTGTATCAATTTCCTCATCTGGATAATGATAGTTTTCAAAAGTTAATGTACCTGCTTTTTGAAAATGCCTGTGGAAGTATTCATCCTGTCTATAACTTGATCTTGTGCTACTATTTTAATGATTAATAACAAGTTTTATTTCACAGTTTTAATAATTTGCCACATTGTAGAGGTTGGCAATTTGAAGAAGTGTAGGCATTTATGCCCACCATCACTACTGATATCAGCGATTTTTCCACCTCTTCTCTTAGACATCCTAGGTTGGTTTTATTATTTTCCCTTTATTTTTGATGAATTGTTTTTATATTTTGCTATGTTTTTTTCTAAAATCTCGCATAATGTGCTTAATTGAAGAATATCTATTGGCTGTATTTAAATTAAGTGAGATTCGCGTACCACGGCAGAGCCTGGCAAGCTACCCGTGACGTATTGGATATGCCAAACACAGTAACAACAAGTCTCATGATGGAGACGTTACTGGGCCCGCTCGAGCAAATCGATGAACAACGGGAGGATCGTGACCGTGATTTACAAGCAGTTCACAAATAATAGCATGCATTATACAGAGCAAGGGTGGCAGAATGTCAACCTTTGAACAAGGTGGATGAAACATATACAGGAATTCTTTGTACAACCTTCACAACTTTTCTTGAACAATTAAAACAAAACAGAAGCACTATCCACTGTTACTTCTTCACTAATACAACAAAAATGAAGCGCAGATCTGAGATACAACAAATGAGTTAGCGTACTATAAATTGCAAAGTTATGCTAGTTATTATTTGGTTTAACGTGAGCTAGTTTACGTCCAGCAAGGTTTTGTGAAGGGGACAAATATACTACAGTTGAGTCTTGAAGAGAGAGCAGAGCACTGGAGGGACTTAACACACTGGAGCATCTTTAACTTAACATACTGGGGTGCTTGCTTTGCATGAGGGAGGTGCAGATTCAATCCCCAGCACTGCATGGTCCCTGAACACCAAACAATCAACGAAGTTCACTTCAAAAAGCAGCAAGTCGAGTGACTGTTGTCTATTTTGTTTTCTGGTCCACAACCAGTAGTGCTCAGGGTTCACTCCGGGCAATGCTCAGAGGACCAACTGTCTGTGGTACCATAGATTAAACCAGAGCCAGCTGTGTGCAAGGCATCTTACCCCCCTGTCCTATCTCCCTGGCCACGACAGACCCTTTTTAAAAATGTCTGTGACCAAACTTATCCCTGAGGCCCAGGTAGGGGATCAGGGCCCATGAGTCACATTTCACTGTGGCAGCCTTTTGGGCCAGCGTCTGCCATGGGTTGGGCAGGCACTGAATTTGACACAGCTGCATCCTGCTCTACCTTTCTGAAGTGAAGAACAGTGGCCCACCACGCCAGAGGTGCATACATGCCAGGAGTATGCACTTCAACCTCAGTACTTCCACTATTATTGTTTCTGGCTTTCATTCTTTATTTTTGGGGGCCATGCCTAGCAATGCTCTGGATTTCTACTTGGCTCTGTGCTCAGAGATCGCTGCGTCTGATACTCAGGTATGTGGTGCCATGTTCAAACCCAGAGTGGCTGAGTGCAAGGCAAGCACCCTACCCACTATTAAGTACTGACTTTCTTTGCTTGAACCTCCTAAGCCCTCCCAACCGACCTCCTACACAAATGATAAAGTGAGAACAGATTACTAGATGGAGATGCCTCAAAATACTATTAAGACACAGTACATACCACAGCATCAAACCGGTTGTGATAAACTTCCGCTTGGCTCTGCTCAATGTAACGCTGTTTGGCATGAATGAAAGCTGGTATTCCCCCGTAGGCCCAGCCAATGATGCCTGCTGAAAGTGCTGCCCTATAAATATTCTCAAGTTCCTTTGATATTCTTTGCTGTTCGCTAAAAAATCAAAAAGAGACAAAAGCTGTTTCAAATTACTTTATAGATAACATTCTCCAACATAATTATCCCAAATGCTACTACATTTTTCATTATGGGCAGAACTGATTAAATTCTCTGGCGAAATAAATAATGCAGTTACATTACAGGTGCTCAGAATCAGCCAATACGAATCTATCCTGTGAGAAAGTAAGCTAGTGGTCACGCTTAGGAAGACAACAGCTTGGAGGAGCACAGGAGGGGAGCTTCTGGATGCTGGGAATGTTTTTTTGGTTTGGATACACAGCTGCTTGATTTGAAATTCACTGATATTAATGCACAATTTTTCCTGGATATATATTATACATATGATGCTGATAACCATCATCATTCTAAACAGGCCTGGAAATAATGTTTTTGTGAGTCAGATGTATAAATCAGTATTTTTTTTTAAGGGTTTGTGGTTGGGAATGGGAGGGTTGGGCCACATCTGGTGGTGCTCAAGGATCACTCCTTACCCACTGTACTACCTCTCTAGCCCAGATTCAACTTTTATATCAAACTGAGTTGGGCCTGTACTGTAAATATCATCCAAAGGGCAGCACAGACCACTTACAAGTAACAACAACAACAAAAAACACAAAGAGTTGTAGAAATAGTAAAAGGGGTAAAGCACTTGCCTCTTCCTGCTGTCCCATTTTGATCCCTGGCACAATATATGATCTGCTGAGCACCATCAGGTGTCATTTGTGAGCACCAGAGGGTATGCCCACCCGTAGATAAATAACAAGGAACACTGCTGTTCCAGTAAGCATATTATTCTCAAATGCATAAGAAACTGAAACTCCTAATGGAGATTCCAAAGATTCATCTGGAAACCTGCTAATGGAGATTCCTCTGGAAATCCCTCTTAGTCGCTAAATTTCTAAGTACTGAGATCCTATAAATAATAAACATCCTTAGGAAAGTCAACTAAATGGTATTTACGTTATTAACTTGCTTTCTTCCAAAACGGGACAAGCATTATCTAATGGCCAGGAACAGCAAGATTTCTAAAATCAGAATTAGTGAGTACTAACAATTTCTGCAAGAATGTATGAGAAAAGTACTTAAATAACACTTCTCAGGAAACTGTATTCTTATGCTTACGTCAACTGAAAAAAAAAACTGCTGTAGCTTGAACTTTATACTTTTTTCTGATGTTCTGATGATTTAAGATCAAAAGCAATTTTTTTTTTTTGCTTTTTGGGTCACACCCTGCGATGCTCAGGGGTTACTCCTGGCTCATGCACTCAGGAATTGCTCCTGGCGGTGCTCGGGGGACCATATGGGATGCTGGGAATCAAACCTGTGTTGGCCATGTTGGCTGCGTGCAAGGGAAACGCCCTACCTGCTGTGCTATCGCTCCAGCCCCCAAAAGTAATTCTTACAGGGTCAGCTAATTGGCTCAGTGCTAGAGCATGTGTCTCACAGATGTGAGGCCCTGGGTTGGATCCCTGGCAGCTGGAAAAAAAAACAAAAACTTATACACTGGTCTATAGTAAAGCTTAGAAAAGATAAAAAGAACTTAAGGTTGAACCACATATGAGGCCAGAGACAGCTTGGAGGGCTGAGTTCATGCTTTGGAGGCCCAGGTTTGGTTCCTAACACTGCATGGTCCCCAAGCACCACCAGAAGCAATCAGAAGCAATGTCTAAACACTGCCAGGTGTTACCCCAAAACTATGCATACACATAACAGAAAGTTAAAAAAAAAATCAAGGGAAAAAAAGGAAAAATATTTACAAACCAGGAAGTGGTCAAGTTAATCTTATATGGTGACAGAAACCAAAGATTCTCAGTGATGTACATTATGCAGTATCCTGATACTAATTTTTAAGATTGTCCACCTTAAAGTAAAAGATATTTAGGGGGGAAAAAAAATGCCCTGAACAAGCCATTGAAATACACATGCTGGCTGTAAACCACGGTATTTAAATAAAGGGAATATGAGGGGGAGAAATGTACGTGCTGGGGTTGTTTGGTTTTCCAATCTTCTGAAATTTTCAAAACTTGGCATTATTACCGGAGCGATAGCACAGCGGGTAGGGCGTTTGCCTTACAAGCGGCCAACATGGCCGACCCGAGTTCGATTCCTCCGCCCCTCTCGGAGAGCCCGGCAAGCTACCGAGAGTATTCGATATGCCAGACACAGTAACAACAAAGTCTCCAATGGAGACGTTACTGGGCCCGCTCGAGCAAATCGACGATCAACGGGAGGGCCTTTACCTTTACCTTTACCTTACCAATATGGACACAAAGCTCTCAGAATTTATACGACTGGCTCTAACAGGCAAAGGATAGGGAAGAAACAGCAGAGGTAAGGTGCACCCAGGAGGTTGTAGCTCTGGTTCTGTCACTGACTGCTGAGAAAACCTAGAGCCTGTTCCCTAAAGCTTGGTTTCCTCATCCTCTCCAAGGAGGGGAGCAAAAATGTCATACACAATTATCTTTCAAGCTTCTTCCAGCTCCAGCACTCCGTATCGTTTGGAAAGCCAACGCAAGTAAGCCTCTTCCAGTATACACTCCGGGGGTCTTTCACAGGTACCTCAAGCAAATGCTGGATCAACAAGAAAGGCTGCTTCATTATTTTTTTTCCATAAACTCAAAATAAAGGCAATTCTGCTAGCTCCCTTGCCCCAAATCATCTCAGCCACACAATACAACGTGCATATAACTGAACCACAAAATAAAAGCACGGGATGGCAAAGTACTACACTTGAAAATCTTTAATCAATGAAGGAAGAAATGCATGAAATGGCCCAGAGTTCTTTAACGTTAACTCAACCAACAGCCTGGTGAATCGGGCTACTGTGTTTTCTTTTGTGAAACGAGTCAATCCTTGCAGTATTTCATATAAACTTTTACAAATCTGCCACCTCCTCCCCAACCTCTACGTTTCTGGAGGGGGCGGGCTGGGAGTACGACTGGTCATCATCAAGTGAAACACGCCTGAAAATTCTGGAGTGGAATTCTGCAAACGCGTCTCCCAGGGTCAGCGGGGCACTTGGCTCCAGGCTTCCAAGCTACGGACCCTGGACGCCCCGAAGCGTCCCAAGTTGCACGGGGTTTCCCTGCCGATCCGGAAACTCGCCCGTCAACGGACAGGAGGAAGCAGCACCGGACGGCACAGCCGAGAGACAATTCCCGGCATCCACGCGCCTCGCAACGGGAACCGTCGCTCCCGGGGCGTCCACCCGGCTCCCCCCGGCCCGGGAACTTTTACTCTTTGGCGAACAGCTGCCGGAGGCGGCCCCATCCGCTCTCGGGGAAGCCCGGCCCGGGCACGTGGGCAGGAAGCCGCTGGTCCTCGGCGGGGCGCTCCTCAGCGGGCACGCGGGGCGAAGGACCCGGCGCCTCCGGGGCCGCCTCCATGGCCCTCCCCGAGCCGACCCCCGCCGCCGACCGGGCAGGAAGCGCTGCGAACGCCAGCGGGGACGCCCCGGCGGGCTCGGGCGGCCGTCACCTTGCAGCCCTGTCCATCCGCGCCGCTGCCAATGGCCGTGGGAGGAAGTCCCGCCCTCGGGGGGGGACACAAGGGTCACGGGGCGGGCGGAGCCAGAGTCCTTCCGGTTGCGCGCGCTCAGGACCTCGGCGAGGTCAGCTCCGCCCCCGGAAGTGAGCTGCGGGGCGGCTGCGCTCTAGGCTCGGGGCCGGGTGACATCCGGCCTCCTGTGCTGGGTTGGTTCTGGGCCACCGGAAGTGCGCTCGCGCCCCAATAGTTTGTCACTGTCACTGTCCTCCCGTTGATCATCGATTTGCTCGAGCGGGCCCAGTAACGTCTGCATCGTGAGACTTGTTGTTACTGTGTTTGGCATGTCGAATACGTCACGGGGAGCTTGCCAGGCTCTGCCCTGCGGGCGAGATACTCTCGGTAGCTTGGAGGAATCGAACTCGGGCCCAGTAGTTTAGTTTATTTATTTCTGGCGGTGCTCAGGGCTTGTTTTCAGAGCTCTGTGCTCCGGGATCAACTCCTGGCGGGGCTTCGGGATGGAACCTGGGCCGCCCGATGGCATGCAAGCACCCCACCCGCAGTGCTGTAGGTCCGGCCCAATTCAGCCTATTTAAAACACACAGAATCCCACCAAAATAAAGGGAGTAGCGATATATGTGGGGAATGTAAACGGGGAGCGCAAATTTGTACAAGCATCAGAGCACCTGCTAGGTGGGTGCGAGGGTTTCCTTCTCAGAAAGGACCAAATTCTTGAGGATGCATGCTCCTTGAGGATGCCCCTTACACCGACCTTTCCAGACTCAGGTAGTTCTTAATAAGATGGAGTTGGCAGCCTTTAGGTCGTCAAGCTACGGTTTCTCAAAAAGAATCCAACTTCGGGAATCTGGCCAGCTGTTCAGCACTTAGCCGTGTTTTTACATCACACAGCTGGTAGGGCGTTCCCCTTGCACACAAAGCAGGCCGACCTGCTTTCAATGCCTCCTTCCCTCTCAGAGAGCCCAGCAAGCTACCCAGAGTATCCCGCCCACGGAGCAGAGCCTGGCAAGCTCCCCAAGGCCTATTCGAAATGCCAAAAACAGTAACGAGTCACAGTGGAGACGTTACTGGTGCCCGCTCCAGCTGATAGATAAACCACCGGATGAGAGTGCTATAGTGCTACATTCTCTGTTAACATATACTCCGAATTAGCTTTTATTGCTGGAAAGAAAGTCTAGGACCCAAACGTTGAACCCCTTACACCCTGTGGCCTTGGTGTCCATGGCAATCTACGTCCCCAAGCAACATGGCCTTCCTGCTGTAGCAAATGAATCCCCAGCCGGGCCAGGTTGGCCAGAATCACCAGGAGAATTCCAACCACTAAAAATAAGTTTTAGTTAAAATGTACATATTTGAAGTTTTTCCCAAATTGGCTTTTGTGATTTTAATCTTTGCTCACAACCAAAGTTCATTGTCCTCTTTGCCAATTCCTACCCCACCTTTACTTTCTAACTGTAATTTTTAAATATGCTACCCTTTATCCACCCAACTTTATAAAATTTGCTACACTTTTTAGATGGATAGCTTTTACAGTGTAATCTGTAATTTGAAAACTGAAATTCTATAGATAGGCTACAGTGAGCAACTAGTCAAAGTAGTGACAGTACAGAAAGATTTCTCCTGTGTCTGGGAAAAAGAATGAGATTCTGTTCCCGTCATGGTGTTTACTACCCTACATAACAATTTTCAATTTGCTGATGTGTATCACAGATAAACTCTGAGGTCAAAGCCCACAAATATTTATCTCTATTTCCAGGGCCTTGCGGTTGTCCAGCAGGTAGGTTGTTAAATTCAGGTCTCCTGAGTCAGGGCCCTCACAGTGGCTCCAGGTTGCTGCAGAGTCATAGGTGGGCACTTCGATAAAGCACCAAGGCCAGGAACGTGACTGTGAGGTCTGTCTTAATTTACATAAAGAAAATGCTAAGTGCAGGCCAGAGCTATGGTAGCAACAGTGGAGAGCGCGTTTGCCTTGCACGCAGCCAACCTGGGTTAGACCCCCGGCATCCCATATGGTCCCCTGAGCACCGCCAGGAGTCATTCCTGAGTGCAGAGCCAGGAGTTACCCCTGATCATCGCTGGGTGTGACACAAAAAGAAAAAAAAAACACAAAAAAGTGCTAGGATGTGTAGGATGACTACAGAATCAGAGGAAAGAATTCTTTAAACTGATGGATGATGATGTTGGGCAATTACTAATCATTCCACTCATCACCTTCCATATATTAATGAGGTTAGAGTTGTGACAGAACTTCCTAACTATCCTATTTTGGGCAGCTGGAGCCTTCTGTAAGTTTCCCTTTGCTACAGGAAGTTCCTGCTCTTGGTCATTGCTCAGCTGTTGTTCCTATTCTATCTCAATTCCTCAGACATCTGCTTTTCTGTCACCCTCCCATACTCCTGCTGTTCTGAACAACCTGACTTACTTCATCATTAGGGAAAGAGTTTCCTTCCGTGGCTAACTCTTTTTGAACAGTCTCGGAGCAACACAAGCCAAATGGTGGTGAGAGGTTTACATGACTTACTCTCTCACAGGTAGCTGTCTTCTCAGACAGCTAATTACCACATAAAAAAGGACTTGAGTGTTGTCACGGTACTGTGGAACAGTACTCAAGCATGCCTGCTTTGATACAGCCTTTGCCTAACAGAATCCCACCATGGCTGATTTTCTCCCAGCAGCCCAAAGGTTCCTTTTCTCTGCCTGGCTTCCTGGGTGGGGTTGTAGTGGGAAAATGAGAAGCAGAAGCTTAAAACTGGGTAGGACTTCAGAGTGACCATTCCAGAAATTGGGCACAGATGAATAGGCTATCAATCATAAAGTCATGGACAGAATGGAGAAGCGCCAGATCGATCAGGCTGCTTGAGCAGGAACAGAGAAACAATGGAGCTAAAGAAACAATGTCCATGTGGGACTTGAGACAGAATGTATTAGTCACTGATTGTACCAAGTGTTATGGGTGTTAGCGACCATTGTGTATGCTAGATGAGAAAAATGCTCCCACAGAATTTGTGTGTCCTGTATGCTATAAAAGCTCTGTGTGAACTGCATGTGTAGCTTGACACATTTTGGTGTTGGTCAGGTCGAATCTGCATGTGTCAATAGAATTTGGTATACTTGGAAATGTACACTAGTGGAGAGATGTGTGTAGGAATACCATATGACTGAAACCCAATCATGAACAGCTTTGTAAGGGTCTATTTCACAGTGACTCAATTTAAAAAAAAAGTTAAAAAATAAAGTAAAATTGGGCTCTCGCTCTGCTCTTTCCAATGCCAGCATCTGCGTCCTGATCGAATTTCTGTAACATGGCCTCTGCTTTGTGCACTACATATATGACACAATTTACACAGGCAGAATAAATTCCTTCCATTACCCTTCTCTCAAAGCATAATTTTATTTCGCCTCCATTAAGTCTCCCACCAGCAACAGATGGAAATTTCTTCTTCCTCTAAAGTCCTCTAAGTTCTAAGGAATGAATATTTCCTAAGTCCTGTTGTTATGCATATTTGACCCATGATAAGGGCCAAATTCGTGCTGCCTTATCAACCTTCTACCTATGCCTCACATTGTTCACTGCTTCAACTGCTGAGTCCCTTGAGACCAGGGAGCCTATTATAAACATGTCCTTATCTCCCACAGTTTGTACATAGCAGATGCTCAAGTAAAAACTCTCAAAAACAACCAAAGATTAACTGGAAGCTGACTGTGTAATGGATCAAGGTGTTTATGTCAGTGCTCACCTGCATTTTTTCCAACGGAAAGGGTATGGAAGTTATTTAAAAAAAAAATTAGGAAGCCCTGCTCTTAAGAGACAGTTCCGAATTTTATTTTTGTTCGGTTGTTTTTTGGCCACATCCAGCTGTGCTCAGAACCTACTTCTGATTTTGCACCCAGGAATCACTCCTGGCAGGATTCAGGGGAACCACATGAGTTGCCAGGGATGGAACCCAGGTTAGCCATGTTCATGAAAAACACCCTACCCACTGTACTAGCCCTTTGGCCCAACAATTCAGAATTATTTATTTTTTTGTTTTTTGGGCCACACCCAGCAATGCTCACGGGTTACTCCTGGCTCTGCACTCAGGAATTACTCCTGGCGGTGCTTGGGGGACCATATGGGATGGCGGGGAACTGAATGGGTCGGCCGCTTACAAGGCAAACGCCCTACCCACTGCACTATCGCTCCGGCCCACAATCCAGAATTCTTCATGAGATTTCTGCAGTTACCCTGCTTCTTACTCTGGCAACTGCAACAAAACTTGTTTAGACACCTTGAGATAACTTGATATTTTCCCTAAGTTCTTTAGCTTAAACTAGTTCTAGGCAGTTTCTGTTGCTGGTAAGTAGGAGGCCCTGATCTAAGAGAACGGAGAGTAAGGTGGGACACTAAGACACTCCCACAGATGACACTCCCTGTGGGGAGTAAATAAAGAGAGGGCACACATACTTGTGTGACTTGAGTGTCCCACTTCATTCAAATAAACAATTATTCTCTTGGGCTGACGGAGCATCACAGATCACAGATCACAGATCATCCTGTTATTCGTCGATTGCCTCGAGCAGGACCCGGTAATGTCTCCTTCATCCTGGCCCTGAGGTTATATTCAAGGCTCTTTTAGGAGAATGAGACCCATCTTAGTTGGTGACGGAGCATACAGAAGAGAAAACATGGCTTGCACACAACTGCAGAGACACGACCCTGCTTGGAAATCCCAACTACCACATAGGCTCCCTGAGCACTGCCAGAGGTCACTCCTGAGCGGTCAGGAACACAGGCTCCCCTGAGCACCGCCAGGGGTCGCTCCTGAGCAGAGTCAGGAACAAGAACAGTGTGGCCTTATCTCAAATGAGGAAAGGATAAGTCTGGAATCCAGCTTATATTAAAAACCAGTAACAACATTCAAAAGTTACGGGGATAAAAACTATTTTAAAAAAACACATCTTTACATATTGTTACAGACCATTCTCATACCATCAGGAGAAGTAAACATATACACAAGTATAAGAATCTGAGTAACACTTGTTCTCCTTGAATACAAAGGTGTCCCTAGTAACGAATCTTCAAAGGACAGGGAACAATCTGCATTGATCAAATTCCTGCAGTCTTGCTGAGTCCCTCTGGAAGCTGATGGTGGGACAATCTTTAACTAGATCTATGTACGCCATTGTCTTTGTCTGTCCATTTACCCAACCATACTTCCGTCTGTCCGTCCGTCCATCCATCCAACTATTTTTAATATCTACTCTGTGTGACGAACAGTCGACTAGAGCTTGGAGATAAGGTGAGTAAAACATGGCTCCCACCCATTAAGCAAATCACAGAAAATTTAGAGAATCAAACTGCAGTGCGATGCAGAGTCGGATAATGCCAGCAGGAGCCTGCTGTGAAGGTTGTTAACTGTCTAGAGGAATGAAGACCTGAGCGAGAGTCAGGCTTGAGCTGATCCCTGAGGCAGAAGCCAACACTCCTACAGAAATGCAGTTTCAGCTTCTCATCCGGGGAGCGGAAAATTTTGTCCCTTCTTTAGTGAGAGGAAAACTAAAATACAAAGAGAACAGTGACATTTCATCAGGCCTCATAATGACAAGGCAACGGGAACTTTATGAATGCTTATCGCCTGACTGCCAGCGTCCGGGGTCATAGTCCCCGTGAATTCTGAATACTCCAAAACCAAAGTATCGGTCTCATTCCATGTAATGAACTTCGTAGGGATATTCCTCTAAGAAAATCCTTAATTCAATTCCTCTAAGAAAACCCTTAGATTTAAGTTTTTGTGAGAGTTTAATTTTTGCTAATGGGGGGAGTAGGGTAACCAGGCCATGCCCAGAGGTGCTCAGGGCTTACTCCCAGCTCTGTGCTCAGGTATCACTCCTGGCAGTACTTGGGAGACCATATGTGGTGCCAGGGACTAAACCAGGGTTGGTTACACACGAGGTAAGCACCTTAATCCCTGTACTATTCCAGAGAATCTTCTGAAGAGTTCTTAGAAGGCAAAGGAAAAGAATTTCTCTGTGAAAAAGTTGGGTCCAAAAGAGGGATGATCCCGAGTCATCAAAATCATACCTAAAAATTTCCTCATTTTTGACATTAAGGAGTGTACCCAGAAAGATCAAAGTAAAAATTCTTTTTTTTTAAAATGGAAACGAGAGACAGAAGGCATTATAACAGAAATTTGCACTAAAACATCTCATATAAAAATCAGTGTTAAAACTGAATGCTCTGAACTTACCATTCTGCATGTGAAGATCCCTTGATATTCCTGTCACACAGTCAATTAATAAAAAAAGAGGGCGGGGGAAATCACTCCAGTGGAAGAATGTGCCTCAAGTGTGACATGCAAGGCCCTGAGCTCAATCTCTGATGCCACAAACTTCCACACAACCCAGCATCATACAGTGAACGCCCAAAGGAAATGCTCTGTTCCCCTCATCTCCCACCCATTCCTCCCAGCCAGTACCACCAGGTGTGGCCCCTATTTTGAAAAAATCAAGGGTGTGCAAGTGTGTGGAGAATTTGCTGTCTTATACACAATCCCTTTTAAAATTTACTAAGAAACTTTTATCTTTTGAGACCATTAAAAAAAAAAAAAAGCGCAAAGGCACAGAAAAGGGAACCTGATATCCAACTGCAATGCAACTGGCCCCTTTCTATGTGCTGCTTAGAAACCTCCTGAGCACAGCATTCATGTTTTTACAAGAACCACTGCATCCTTAGGCCTTTCAGGAAATGATCCTCCCTATTTTTCACATGTTACAGTGTTTCCTATTAAAACACAGTGACAAAGATCAAGCCTAGAACATCTTGCAGAAATGCAGTGATCAAGTTTCTGTCCAAGTAACAGGAACCAAGGGCATCATCTCACACAGTTCATTTCACAGTAATGAAAACAGACATGTGGATGATTTGAGGCACAAGCTGTGACTGGTCACTAGAAAATAAAAGGTAAGATTGGGTTCAAAACCTGCATCTCATGATTTCTGGCCCTTCTTCTGCCAAAGCGGTAAGCTGCTTCCAATCTGCATTATACACACTTTGGATCTTCTTCCAGAGTTGCTCTATATGCAGCATGAGAAGAAAAGTCATAATTTTTGGCTGGATGACAGTATTCAAGTGCCCCCTCTCATGGTAAGCTCCTCACCACAGGATATCCAAGATCTGCTCCGGGGAGAGGACCATGTTCTGGTGTTGACTGCTAAAGTTCAGTTTTCAAAATTTTGGGAATGATCTGCTCATAGTCTTTCCTCCTGGTCACATTATAGGACAGGAATTTGGAATACTCAGTCAACAGTTTCTCCCAGTAACAAGTGATGTCATCCATCCGCAAGTGGTTTATAATAAATTGTCTTCCCCTAGAAACAAGATTAATGTGAACATTTGAAACACTGCAGTTAATAACATTACTGACTAATTCTTGAGTGCTTACCCTGCGTAAAGTACTTTATGTGAATTAACCCATTTGAAACTCAGATCCAACCCAATAGCCATCAAACCAATTCATATACATGCACTGGGCAACAGAGCTTTACGTATTTTTTTAAAACAAGCAAATGGATACCCAATGTTCAGAAAAAGTAGTTGTTTCATTACTTCAAGGATTTCAGTGTTTTGCCCCAGAACAGCTACAATTCTAAGTATTTTTCTGTATAACGAGGACAAAAATCTGTTATCACCTGGGTAACAATATTCAGATAACTTGAACTAGGGGGAAACGGGATGATAAAATATAAAAGGAGAAACAAGTGAAACTCACCTTTCAGCAATTTCTCGAGCTACATCATCATTTGCTTTTACAAACTGTAACAACTCCCTAAAATGAAAAGCATTATTAGCTTCAGAAATATAATAATGAGTGCATTATTAATCAGAGAGGCCACAGATTAAGGTTCAGATATGTGGATGGTAATTCTTTCTTAAAACAAAAATGTCCGGTCTTCCTAGGAACAAAACAAAACAAACAAAAACCCCACACACAAGATAAAGGCAACCTGTTGTAGATTTGAGAAATGTTTGGCAAACACAGAGATATGTTCAAAGACACATATCAAATGTAAAGAAAAAAAAAATCAATAAAGAGACAGAACAGGGGTTAGGCCAATCACTATGCATGTGGTTGACCTTAGTTCAATCCCCAGCGCAGCAAATGGTCCCCCTTACCACCAGGAATGACACTGAGAACAGAGCCAGGAGTAGCCCCTGAGCACTACAGGTGTGGCCCCAAATCAAATGACAACAAAACAAGTGAAGATAAAGGACTGGGGATACAATTCAGTGAGAGTACACTTGCCTTGCATGTGAGGTCCTGGCTGGAGAAAGAAAAAGTGAAGAAAAAAATTCCCTCCTATCTCCTGCTCTGGACCCAGACAGGGCCCTGGGTTCACCTTGCTGGCCCCTCTCATACCTCTTCCTAACTCCTCCCATCACCAGAGGAAATGTGTCTCAGCTCAATGGGCTCAAATCTCGGGCTGTAGCTGAAAGTTCCTGTGAGAAGATAGTAAGATTGAACGCTCCTATCTTCAGTTTTGAGAGGTTAATACTTCCTCATCGCGTCCTGTCCAGATGTTACATCTCAAGCCACCACGTGAGCACTTTTTAAAGGTATATCCCACTGGTGGATAACAAGGCAGTGATACCTACGTGGGCCAAGAGGGGAAAGTTTCCAGGGGCAATAATTGCTGGGAGTAAGAGGCTTTATTTGTCTGGGGTTTTGTCTGTGGGGGCGGTTACACCAGGCTGCACTCAGGAATCACTCCGGGTGGGGCTGGGAGGAGTGCTCGGGAGCAAACCCAGGTCTGCCATGAGCAAGGCAAGGGCCTCACCCCTGTACGATCACTCCGGCTTCAGGAGCAAATGCCCTTGAATGCCAGGGACTTCGAGGCCAACTGCAGGAGCCCCAGGAACTGCCCGGGTGGGCTGCTTACTGAGCGTCAGAGAGGTCTGTTCGGACTGGGATGTAGTGGACCCATGGCTTCAGTTGTGGGTAGAAGAATTCCAGCCACTCGTCCCCCACGTGGAAAACAAGCGAGCCACAGAGGAAGAGATGTTTGAACCGGAAACTCGCAGCGACGCCACGGAAATTAAAAAGATACCTACAAGAGCAAAGAAAACATACTTGAAGGCTACAGAATAGGACACATTTTCCTATTGCCCCCTCCCCCACCCTCTGGTCTGACTCCTCCCCCTTCTCTTCCCATCTCCTCACTGCAGTGGACTTAGAAACTCTGCTTTTCTGGAGACCCAGGAGGTTCCCGGGAATGCCAGGGTGAGGGGAAAGGCAGAACCCCTTCCCTCGGTACGGCAGATAGGCCAGGAGTGAGGACAGGGGAGGAAAGACACAGGATCCAATGGGCAGGACTGCTCCTTCTTTTCTAAAGTCTGTTCTAGATTGAATGTTGGTGCCGGTGCAGTGCCCTCCCGCTGCTACTGGCCCAGTGGAACCTTCTCTGGCCTCAGGTAGGCTCTTGTGTCAAGTGGAACCAGGCATAACTCAAGCACCTTTGCGGGCTGGAGCAGTAGTTCAGCGGGTAGGGCATTTGCCTTGCACACGGCAGACCCGGGTTCAATTCCCAGCATCCCATATGGTCCCCTGAGCACTGCCAGGGGTAATTCCTGAGCGCAGAGCCAGGAGTAACCCCTGTGCATCACCGGGTGTGATAAAAAAGGAAAAAAAAAAGAAAATCTTCAAGGAAAGGTCCCTTGGAAGAACAGCTACATCAGAAATAAACATTTTTGGGGCCGGAGCAATAGCACAGCGGGTAGGGCGTTTGCCTTGCATGCGGCTGACCCAGGTTTGATTCCCAGAATCCCATATGGTCCTCTGAGCACCACCAAGAGTAATCTTTGTGTGAAAAGTCAAGAGTAACCCCTGTGCATTGCCGGGTGTGACCCAAAACGAAATAAAAAAAAGTGTGTTAGAAATAAACATTTCTGGGGCTGGAGCAATAGCACAATGTGTAGGGCATTTGCCTTGCACGCGGCCGACCCGGGTTTGATTCCCAGCATCCCATATGGTCCCCTGAGCACCGCCAGGGGTGATTCCTGAGTGCAGAGCCAGGAGTAACCCCTGTGCATCGCCAGGTGTGACCCAAAAAGAAAAAAAAGAAGAAATAAACATTTCTTTTCAGCCCAACTCACACATGCATCAGGTCACCAGATACTTCTGAAGTTTCCATAGGGCATGGAATTAGGATTCATCTCTGAACCATCCCCCTTGGGGTCTCTAGCCTGGTTTTAACAGTACATCTAACTCTTCTTCCTGGCATTTAGTTACATTTTAGTTACAGATATTTTATGCATGATGAATCTTAAGCTGTTTTATTAACCTGACAAATGTATCATCTAACCTCAGCAACTGTCTGATGTGTGTGAGAGAAGACATCTACCATCTTTTCTTTTCTTTTTGTTTTATGGGCCACGCCTTGTAGTACTCAGGGGGACTCTGCACTCAGGGGTCCTTCCTGGGGGGGCTCACATGCAATGCTAGAGATGGAACTGGAGTCGATACAGGGAAAGCGCCCTCCCTGCTGTCCTATGGCTCTGGTCTCCTGACATTTTTCTTCTCCAGAACACAAACACAACGGAAACAGAAAGCACATTGCACTTTCGTGGTCTCCACAGGCTTGTGCAATGTGGGCCCTCGGCAAATGACAGCTCAATGAATTAGTTCAACACATAAGGCCCCCAGTTTCGGCCTGCTATTAGAATCCTCACTCAGAGCGGCACTATCCGAGTCAGGAGCCCCGGGATCCTTACTTGTACTTGCAGTGATCCACAAGGTGGACATCCTGAGCGGCCGGCCTCCCCAGGGTGTCCTGGAAGGGAAAGGGGAGCTGTCAGTTGCAGCAGCAGCAGCAGCTGTGAAATGTTTCAAGTTGCAAGACACACACACTCAGGAGGCAGTACCTCTCATCTTCTAGGTGAAGAAGTGAGGAGACCTGTTCACAGTCACGGTGGCCCCATGTGGAGGAGTGAGACATTTAACCTGAGTCTGACTTTAGAGTCAAACCTCCCCTGAAACCTGTGGCTCCTCCTCTGAATGCCTGGTTTACTGGGTCAGTTTCACACGCAGGAAGACACAAGTTGTGGGTGCTCTGCCGAGAGGTGGGTATACCCACAAACCATCCGCTGGCCATGAAAAGTATTGCAAAAGAGTCCTAAACCACTGCCAACACTGACAGGCATAGCACAGCGGGTAGGGCGTTTGCCTTCAATGCGGCCGACCTGGGTTCAATCCCCGGCATCACATATGGTCACCCAAGCACTGCCAGGATTGATTCCTGAGTGCAGAGCCAGGAATGACCCCTGAGTATTGCTGACTGTGACCCAAAAATAAATAAATAAATAGGTAAAAGGTAAAGGTAAAGGCCCTCCCGTTGATCGTCGATTTGCTCGAGCGGGCCCAGTAACGTCTCCATTGGAGACTTTGTTGTTACTGTGTCTGGCATATCGAATACTCTCGGTAGCTTGCCGGGCTCTCCGAGAGGGGCGGAGGAATCAAACTCGGGTCGGCCATGTTGGCCGCTCGTAAGGCGAACGCCCTGCCCACTGTGCTATAAATAAAATTGCAAGTAATATTTTAATAATAATAATAATATAATAATAATAAAATTATTTAAAATATAATTATTGTTTGTTTATTTATTTTTATTATTAATTATAATAATTATTATTATTTTATTTATTTATGTATTTATTTTGCTTTTTGGGTCATACCCGGCGATGCACAGGGGTTACTCCTGGCTCTGCACTCAGAAATTACTCCTGGCGGTGCTCAGGGGATCACATGGGATGCTGGGAATTGAACCTGGTCAGCCACATGCAATGCAAACGTCCCACCCCTGTGCTATCACTCCAGCCCCAACAATGTATTTCTTACCAAAAAAAAAACTAGATTTCTAAATGTTGCTGTTCAAAGAAAAGGAGTGTCTGCGAGAGCTCCTAGTGCTCCAGCAACAGTGATTCTTGGTGTTCTCTCCCACCATTTCCTGTGGACCCTGGAGACCCTCGGGTTTGAGACACACCCCCCCCCACTACCACCACCAATGTTCAGCCACTGCAGCAGATGACAAATGTCTTGGTAAGGGTAGGAGGATAGGGGGGATGGGGGGGAGAGTTTTATCTGCTTTTGCAGCCTCCCACTGTAGATGCTATGCTTAATGAACACTTTTTCATATTATTATTTTTTCAAATCTTCTTAAACTTCACTGCCTCCTGTTTGATTAAAACTATCCAATAATTCACTTATTTCAGACTGCGTGTTGCCCTGAAGAAGTTTAAAACTTTTTCTCGAATCATCCTCACATAGCACATGGGAATTTAAGACGAGCATACTTAGAGGTAGCACTGTAGCACTGTCCTCCCGATTTGCTTGAGCGGGCACCAGCAATGTCTCCATTGTGAGACTTGTTGTTACTGTTTTTGGCATATCAAATACGCCACAGGGAGCTTGCCAGGCTCTGCCATGCGGGCAGGATACTCTTGGTGGCTTGCCGGGCTCTCTAACAGGGGCACGAACCTGGGTCGGCCACGTGCAAGGCAAACGCCCGACCAGCTGTGCTGTGGCTCCAGCCCATACTTAGAGGTAACCTTTTTATCTGTATGGTTTTGAGCTACACTTGGTGGTCCTCAGGGGCTTACTCCTGGCAGTGTTCAGGGGACTATATGTGATGCTGGGGATCAATCCAGGTTCAGCTGCAAGCAAGGCAAGGGCTTTTCATCCCTGTACTATTTCTCCAGGCCGCAGAAATTACTTTTAAGAAGGCAAGAAGTCAGGGGCTGGAATGTAGCACAGCGGGTAGGGTGTTTGCCTTGCAAGTGGCCAACCCAAGTTTGATCCCCAGCACCCCATATGGCCCCTGAGCACCACCAGGTGAAATTCCTGAGTACAGAGCCAGGAGTAACCCCTGAACATCATGGGGTATGTCCCAAAAACAAAACAAAAATAATAACAAGGCAAGAAATCACAGTGTTCAAAAGACAGAGACTCCAAATCCAAAAGTCAATGATTGCTAGCTTCACCTAAAAATCACTTGGAAATTTTTAAACAAAAGGTTATGCCTGGATCCATGGACTCCCTGAGACTCTGTTTCATTTGATTAATTTAGAAAGATCCACGGTCGGTACTGTATGGTGAGATTTGAGTACCGTTTCTGCAAATTAAGGTTTGGAAAACTACAGTCCACAGGAAAAACCTGACCCCTTGCTTGTTGTGTATATAGCACATAACATCTGAACATTTTTCCCTTTCAGATGGTTGAAATGATAAAAAGAGGATTTTTTTACATGTAAATATTATATGAAATTCAAGTTTCAGTGCCATGAGCAAATGTTTATGAAAACACAGTCCCACTTAATCAGTTAGATATTGTCTGTGATTGCTTTTGGGCTTAGATAGCCAAGGTGAATAGCTGCAACAAACACCATATAATTTACAAAACCCACAATATTTACCATCTGGCTCTTTACATAAAAAATGTACGACCATGGGCTGGAGCGATAGCAGAGTGGGGAGGGCGTTTGCCTTGTGTGCAGCCATCCCGGCATCCCATATGGTCCCCTAAGCACCGCCAGGAGTAATCCCTGAGTGCAGAGCCAGGAGCAACCCCTGAGCATCGCTGGGTGTGACCCAAAAAGAAAAAAAAAATCTGTGACCACCATTTAACCTTTCAAAGTAATGTAATATAACTGTCATAAAAAAGTGAAAGGCAATGTGCATTGGAAAGTTACGCTAGCACTAGTTCTTGAAACTTTCTCTGCATTTATCCCACCAGAGGGGAAATCTAATCTGAAATTCTCCCATGGGGGTAGCTGTCTCTGAGTGACAATGTCCACTGATGTAATTCTATCCAGACGAATACTAATTACCTTCATAGATTTCCAGGCCTGGTTTTTGGTGTACTCTGCATCAACAAGTTTTGGATTTTTCCGAGAGAGAAGAATGAGAGGATCTCGTTCTGGACTTGTTCTATAAAAGAAATACGTGACATGAAGCTGTGCGTGACAATGGAACACTGTTCCCAATGCCGGAAAGATGACTCAGTGTGATGACTAAGCACAGGTGGGCAACTCTTGGCTACAGGAAAAGGCGGGAAGAATTCGTTGGTCCTAGGCTGCCCCCCACTATACACTTCAGAAATGGGGAATCTTTGGCCCATCTTTGCTTGCATTTAGTCTTTAAGGGATTACGGTCCTAATCATCACAACTGTATCCCAGGAAAGGGTCACCTGCCGGTGAGCTCAGAGGACCTTCCAATAATCACCGTTGTGTGCCGAGGTAACAATACTTATTGAAAGAGCTAAATAACTAACCTTTGTTAGGTGAGTTCAGAAAGTATGAGATCTTAAAAGAAAAATAAAGGACTTAAAAAAACTAGCGATTAAATGAAGGAAAAGTCCTAGTTATGGTTCAGCAGTCTCGACATTTGTGGGATCATGATCCCTGAAGAATCTGAGAATGTAAACCCTCGTGTGTGGGGAGAAAAATGCCTATTTTTTTTTATCCTCGTACAAATACAAACACCTTTTAAAATTCCTGCGGTCTACACATGGATCCCAAAATAAGCATCTGTGATGTACTCAGTGGTAGAGAATTTGTCTGGCAAGTGTGAGGCCCTGGGATAAATTCTTGGCCCCACAGACAAAAAAAAAAAAAAAAAAAGGCCAAAAATAAACCCTTTGATTTCAAGCTGTGAAAATCAGAAATTGATAAGAAAGAGCAAACAGTGGCTGTTCCGCCGATCTCCGTATCTCCACGCTGAGGCTTACTGCCTGTAACAGCAAAGTGTGTGCTTGGGCAGAACATACCTTATGGCCAGACCAATAGTGCAGGGGGACGGTGCTGGCCTCGCACCCAGCCAACCCAGGTCAGTCCCTGATACCTCACTCAGTTTTCTGAGCAGCACCAGGAGTGATACTTGAGCAAAGAGCCAGGAGCCAGTCCTGAGAATGGCCAAGTATGGACCAAACACCAAATCCAAAAGGAGAACGCTCCTTAAAAGCTCCATTCACAGCCTATTTGGCCTCCACGTGCTCAACTGTGTGTTCACTGTGCATCTGCCCGCCAAGTACTGGTCCTGTTGCCTGGGGGTGCGGAATTCAACTACACAGATGCTTTGGACCAATCTCTTCCCTTCCCTCCTCTTTCTTCTCCATTTTCCACTCTATTATCTCAGACACAATCCGGGTGCTTAGCCACTACCTGGCAGCCACACGGTCTGATTACAAAAGGCAGGAACTCAGGAGATCATGGTGATTCCTGGTCAGCCATCAGCTAGCAGAGTGACCATGGGCAAGATCATCAGCTACTTGAAACCGCAAGTTCTCATCTGTGCTTGTTCCACACTATCCGTTCACTTGACACCCAGCACACTTAGGGCACTCTGTAAATACGCAGAGGATGACTGGATGGGTGAAGTGATTTACTTCCGTGAATTTCCTTTCAACTAAGAGGGATCGGGGAAAAAAACATTCTGAGTTCCCTAGCCTGAATTCTGATTGAACTAGAGTTCCTCACTCTCTCCAAATAACTTATGTTTTACACATTAACTGGAAGAATGTTTTTGTAAAATATCAGAAAATACAATCACCTTGATCCTCGGAAATATGCTGTGGAATTTTTCTTTTTCCATGGCCACTGTGCTGCTGACCTAAAAACAGATTTTGATTAATTTTTTTTAAGTTAACTTATGCAGGGTAGTGAACAGAAAAAGCCTTAAATAATGCTGTATACTTTTTTGCAATTACTTCATTTCTGGAGGTGCTAGCCAGTAAAATACTTAACAACATTGACAGAAATGCTCCCAAGAGCTAAATTATATATTTGGGATTGTTTAACTCAGCATAGTAACGATTTCTTTTTTGTCTTTCCTTTTTTTTTTTTGTTAAATTTTAAAAATTTGGGGTGGGGGTGGGATTTTGGTTTTGGGGCTCTGCTTGGTGGTGCCCCATGCAGGGTAGTTACTCCCGGTAGGCTCAAGTGACCATACAGGATGCCAGAGATTGAATCCAGGTCAGCTGCATCAAAGCAATTGCTCTGGCCCCTGATTTCTTTTCTTCTCAGGTGTAGAGCTACTTATAAAATGAACAGGCAATGAAAACTACATAAAAAAGTGGGGGAAGGCAGGAATAGAATTCAGGGCAATGTGGCTCCCTTCGTGTGCTTTGAACATGCAAAAGGTATCAATTTAGGGCTGGAGAGAAGTACAGCAGGCAGGGTGCTTGCCTGGCACATGGGTGACCCAAGTTCAATCTCAGGCCTCACCCACACGGTCCCCTGAGCTGGCCAGGAATGAGCTCTGAGAGCAGAGCCAGGAGGAGGCACTGAGCCCTGCCGGGGTGGCACAAAAGTCAACACGCGCACACGCACGCACACACAGACACACAATTTTAAAAATAAATAAATAAAAACAGGTATCACTGATCTGTCTGTTCCTTAATTCTTGATTATTCGCAGGCACCAAACAAGTGAAGCCCTAGGATCAGAGATGGCTCCAAGGGCGGTGGTGCACGCTTAGTGTGGGCAGAACAATGTTGGCCCCGGCCCACACGCCCTCGCTTCCCGGGAACAGCTCTCCTCAAGGCTGCCAGGAACCCTTCAGAGAAACGAAGCAACAAAGACAAAGAGGCTCTCAGAAGCTGCCATTCACTCCCAGCTCAGGGTGCCTGTGGAGCCCGCCTGCCACCCAGAGCGGGGCTCCACCCAACCATGACCCCCACCCTGACCCTGGTCCCTCAAACTCAAAGCACCTGAATGTAGCCTGGAAGCCATATGCAGAAGTCACCATTCAGCCCCATGATAGACTTCTTGCATAGTGTGCAGCCGACATACTTCAGCTGTTCCTGTCTCACAGAGAGCATGCACTGACATCCTACCCTACCCACACATCACACTCAAGACACCACCGGATGGCAAAAAGGCACAATGCAACAACCAAGAACCCCAGAACACTTAGTGATGGTATAGCCCTGAAGATTCAGCCACGAACAACCACCTCGACATCTCTGACAAAGACATTAGAGAGAAAATGCTGAGGATGTCAATGGGCTCACAGGAGCAATGAAACAAAACACCAGACGGTATCAGAGCAGAAATAAGACAACTAAATAATTTGATCGGTGAAATGAAAACCTCACTCGAAGGCCTTAAGCAGTAACTAAGTAGCTGAGGACAAAAGTCAATGAGCTCCCTCCCAGGATGGGAGATGCATGTTGAAAGTAGACTATGGACCAAACACGACTGCCACTCAATGCCTCTTCTGCAGACCACAACACCCAAAAGGAGAGAGAGAACAAAAGGGAATGCCCTGCCACAGAGGCAGGGTGGGATGGGGGATGGGGGTGGGAGGGATATTATCTATCCATGGTGGTGGGAAATGGGCACTGGTGGAGGGATGGGTATTTGATCATTGTATAATTGAAACCCAAGCACAAAAATTTGTAAGTCTACAACTGTACCTCATGGTGTTTCACTAATAAAATTAATTTTAAAAAAAAGTCAGTTAGCTCCGAGATGAGTTGCAGAAAACCTATAGACAACAGCAGAAAAGTGGGGAGGGGGAAGAGAAAGTCTCAAAACAGATGATCAGAGTAACGGAGACCTAGGAAGGAAGTTCCGGTGAAGAAGCACTAGTCTCGGAAGTCATCACTGAGAAGCTTCCAGAGCTGAAGAGTGGATGCACCCAGATTCAAGAGGCCCTAAGTGTACCAGCTAAAAGACACCCAAATAGAAACACTCCAAGACACATCCTAATAGTTATACTTGATGAAAGAAAATGATAGAGAGAGACTACTGAAAACAGAAAAATCAACAAAAGGAAATCAAGTACAAAGGAGCACATTTAAGATTTATCACAGATTTAACAATTACACCCTCTGGGCCTGAAGAAATGGTGAGATATAATTAACACACACACACACACACACACACACACACACACACACAGAAATGGACAGTTTGCTAAAAATACTTTACCCAGTCAGAAACTCATTCAAATTTGAAGGAATAATACAGAACTCCACGGATAAACGATAGCTCAGGAAATTCAAAGATTCAAAACCAACTTTTACAAGTACAACTGAAGGGATTACTAAAAGGTAAGACAAACTCCCAAACACACCAAACCTCTACAGAAAGATGGCGCAGACTTGGCCTATTCCCCCTGGCGGCCCAGTGGCCGCCATCCTCCAGAGGACCCTGGACTGTCAGGTTTGGACCTGCAGTGACGAGACACGTGGGGCCTCATGGGTTGGGGGTGGAGCTGGCCCTTTCTTCCCCGTCCCCACGAGACCCCGAGTCATCGCCCACGAATGGCCTCTCTGGCTCCTGATCAAGCTGCTTAATGGCCATGAACCCAGAGACTCAAGAACAAATCTCGGAACCCAGCAGGTTTTGGCAGAAATCCCTCCAGATTTAAGTGTCAAAACTTCGGAATTTCATCTCATGGGAAGAGTGGCAGTACCAGCTCGTCCTTCATACCCTATCGAGGTCACGAGTTGCCCCCCTCCCCCCCATGAGCGGCTCTCCAGCAGGGCCATGGCTCCAGAGGCAAAAGGACTTGATCCAGAGCCCAGCAGTTTGCGGCAGAAAAGTGAATGGACCATGCGTTAACCTACAGTGCCCATGCCTCCCCAAGAGGGAAATGGTATTGCTCCCTTCCGCCTAAGCCAGGTATGAGCCGGCGGTGATGGGGCAACTGCAGTCTCATGGGAAGAGAGGTGGTACCAGCTCATCCTTTACGCCCTACCGAAATCACGAGTTGCCCCCCTTGAGTGGCTCTCCGGCACAGCCATAACACTAGACGCACGGAAACCAATCTCATAATTATTCTGGCTCTTTGCAGAAATCCGTCCATATTTTACTCAGTAAAATATCAGAAATCCAAAATTGCACGGCTGCAAAGTGGCCGCGTGACATCATATGGTTCTCATAACCAGCTATAGAAATCAAATTATTTCACAATGCCTTTTCAGCAATTCTGATTGTTGGGGGGAAATTCTAAACAATAATGGTGCATCTTTTGTTGAAATAATGAATGTAATCAAAGTAGAGAGAGTGTTAAGTACAAATCATCTGCCTCACAGGCATTGGGAGGGGTGGGAGGGGGGTATATTGGGGTTATTGGTGGTGAAAAATAAGTACTGGTGAAGGGAAAGGTGTTTGATCATTGTATGACCAAGACTTAAACCTGAAAGCTTTGTAACATTTCCCAGTGATCCAATAAATATAAGAAAAAAAATAAAGAAAGATGGCACAGAACTCCAGGATAATCATCTCACTGCACAAAATGCACCAATTAAGAGACAGAGAATGCAAGGGATCGGGACTGATGGCTCCTTCCCATCTCCCTGCCCCTCTGGGGTCCTGGCTGTTACCCCCACAAACTGCCTCCAGTGCCATTTAAGCTCATTAACGGACATGATCCAGAGACTCACAAATGAATCTCGGAATCGAGCAGCTTGCTACAGAGATGCCTCCAGACCCTAATTATTTAAAATTTTAGAATTCCAGGAGCTTGCAGCCTCGAATCTCGTGCTATTCATAACAAGCAATACAAAAAAAAAAAAAATATCTAGCATCTGCCCATAGTGCAGGCTTGAGTGGAGGTGGGAAAATTCAAAATAATGGTGGTGAGAAGGTGTAATGGTAGTGGGATTGGTGTTGAAATATTGAATGTAATCCATCATTGTGAACAACTTTGTGAAAGTAAAATTCAAAAAAGAAAAAATAAACAAAAAAATAAAAATTAAAAAAAAGACAAAGAGTGGCAGGGCAGATTAGAAAATTGAATCTAACCTTCTGCTTTCTACAAGGAACACGTCTGAAAGCTAAGGGCAAATTCAGACTTACATTAAAAGTTTGGAAGGAAGCATTTCAAGCAAACAACACACAGAAAAAGGCAGAGATGGTCATACTTAGACAACAAAGACTGCAGGATTTAAAAAATGTTTATGAGACAGAATGCAAGATTTAAGAAGAGGACTCCCAGAACAACCACCAACTGGGAACTCTTTGGCTCTGTTCCGGCAACATGGGAAGATGCCGTCATTGACAACATTGATGAGGAATACGATCGAATGATTCAGCACCTCCATGATTGTGCAAGGAATGCCAAGAGAGAGATAACCACAAAAAACCGTCTTTCTTTGAACACTCTTGAACTTATTCGCCAACGTGGCTTGGCACGTGCCTCAGGCAACCACAAGCAAACGTCCGAACTGGCAAAACAGTGCAGAGAAGCCATCAAGGATGACCTCAAAAACAGGAGAGCAGCAGTACTGGTAGATGCAGCAGAAGCTGGGAAAAACATTCGTAATGCCCGCCTGTCCTTCACCAACTACAAAACCAAGATGACTGCCCTCCGACATCATGATGGATCTATCACATCTTCCAGAAGGGCAATGGAGAAGATAATTCATGACTTCTACTCAGATCTCTTTAATAGCCACATCCACTTGCCCACATACCACATACCACATGATGGATATGTCGTTCCCAATGTTCTCCCTTCCGAAATCCAACATGCCATCTCATCGGTAAAGAAACAAAGAGCACCTGGCCCAGACAAGATCAGACCTGAACACCTGAAGAACTTACCATCAGTACTCATCAATACATTGGCTCGACTCTTCACACGCTACCTGTCTGAAT